TTAATAGTACTATTCTAATAATAGTAGCTAGAAAATAAGATAATATATAAATTAAGTTATTAAACTTACAAGAGTATACTAATTATTAAATTTTTTATTTTACTTTATTTAGAGCTCTAGCTAGTTCTAAATAAAGCTTAATATCTAGTATTTACTAATAGGCTATAGAGGTAGATCTTAGCTATATATAGTAAGTAGAGCGTCTACTATCTATTATATATTAATAATATAGAGTAGAAAGCCTTATTAATCTAGCTTTAGAATCTATTAAATAAGAGACTACTCTTTAATAGCTAATAGCTTATAATTAATAGAGGCTTTCTCTAATTATAACTAGATACTATAGAGGTGTTATTAGAGCGTTATTCGTAGAGTATTATATAGTATAGTAGCTTAATACTAGCTTATAATACGTTTCTCTTAAAGCGCGCTAGATACTAGAAGAACTCTACTTTTATAAGCAGTCTATACAGAGCGTTATTATCGCGGTATAGTGGTGATTATAGAGAGAGCCGCGTTAAGTTTAGTGGGGTGGGCCACTGACTGATGTGGGCCGCTTACTAATAAAACACGTTAGCTCTATTTATTCTTATATAAGCTATCTAATATTATAGAAAGTATTTATTTAACCTCTATATTATACTTTCTTTATATGAATTAGGTTTAAAAACTTATATATACACTTAGGAATAGTGTTATATTTGCTAAACTATTATACGCACTGACCACATGTAGTATATAATCATATCTATGAACTCTCCACTACATAGTACTACTCCTAACAAACCACTGAGCATGTGCGACCAACAAACTAGCGAATTATTTCCTGGGAGATTCCTAGTTGAGCAAGAGCAGGCAGACGCCTCATGCGCCTCACCAGATTTGCTTATTCTTAACCAGCCAATAACGCATTTTACGGCGTTCTCCTACCTCTGGAAGCATAGTAGCTACCGGGTTTGTGCAGATGGCGGCGCAAATAGGCTCTTTGATATGTTTCAAGGAGAAGTGAAAGAGCAGCGCAGGCAATACGTAAGTTGGAGCAAGGATTTGAGCCATTAAGCAAGCCTGATATGTGCAGCTACCCGACATCGTCCACGGCGACCTTGATTCATTGCGCCACGATGTTCGTGACTACTATCGCGATCAAGGTGTCTTAATATCAAGGGACGGCGATCAAGAAAGTACAGATTTTGGAAAATGCATGCAGAAAATATCTTCGCGTGTCTCATCGGGCACGCGAAACGTTCTCGTTCTTGGAACATTAGGTGGACGCGTTGACCAAGGGTTGGGACTGTTGCATGAGATGATTAGAGAGGAGACTAAGCATCCCAACCTCCGTTTGTGGCTGTTTTCTGAATCCAGTCTGTCGCTCATCATAAAGGCAAAGGAAACGATCCTGAGAGGCTTGCAGGCGAGCCGGGTTTTCACGGAGAATGTGGGTATTGTTCCTATCTACGGCCCAGCGGTGATCTCGACTGAGGGACTGGAGTGGGATGTCAAGCAGTGGGCTACACGCATGGGCGGACAAGTCAGTACGAGCAACCATGTCAAAGCAGATATGGTCCGGGTTGAGACTGACGCGCCGATACTTTTCACGATAGAGATGGCGTCCTTGAATATGTCGTAACTATGCACCACAGGCCTCGTAGGAGGTGGATTACTGCATGCGCGCGATCGTGTTGCAGCCGTTCATGTATAATTTACTATTTCGACATGTATCCGCACTTGGCTGTGAATGTGTAGAGCGAGGGTCTCAGTAGTCCCTTGATGCCGGGAATGAATTCAGCAAGTTGGCAACGTCACATATGTAGCGTACCAAGGTTCCCGTCCCACTCGAATGGTCTTGACATGATTCCCATCACGAGCCATAGCTTGTATTCAGTGACAGTTAGGGAAAGTACGCGGAGTGAATGAGGGTAGGCAGTTGGAGGTGTCTAGCGGGACCTCTTGCCTCGACAACAAACAGCTGCCGTCGTCCACTCGCCATCACTTTCACTGCTACTACCGCTGCTCACCATCACCTGGTCTACTCAAACGCTCGACGCGCTTTCCGGGGACACATCGCTACTCACTGTCGCTACCACTCCAATTTTTGGATTTATATTCCCCCACTATTCAGGCCTGCTGTGCCTCCTTGGGTATCTGTACCCTTCCCACACCACTCGTTGCTCATCTACGGATGCCCCTTTGACTTCTCGACTCTTTTACGGTAGGTAACACAGCGTCAAACCCCCCAGTCATCATATTGCCTTCGTACAACGATCACGGCGCTTCCCGCTCGTCTCGCTGCGACTCTCACTTCCTTTCCTCTCCCTTACAGAGTACGTCGGACAACTTGTCAGTTGATACAAACACCAAGGGCGTCCACCGCATTCAGCACAAGCTACACAACTCAGGGGGATCAGTGGGGTAAGACACAAGCGCCAACGCCCTCCATTCGCTAATCGGCCTAGGAACGGAAACGACTCATGGCATCTATGCCGGGACCTAGCCAGCAAGTGCGGGACAATGAATGGCTCAGACAGACACGCTCGACTGTAGGCGTAGAGGGAGAGGCTACAACAATGGAGAGAGCGACAATGGATCAGAGCAGGTCGGTGTTGGCAGAGCAATCCTCGCCATCCATACTACTACTACCCTTTACCCCTGCCGTATCCTCGCCACTCAATCCGGCAAGACTCAGGCCAACAAGCCCGGTGCATTCGAGCGATAAGGCGCAGACCGGATCTGATTCTGCGCATGTAGCCTCGCTACGGCCTCACTTGCGATTTCCGCCTCGTCCATATCTGCGATCAAAGACAAGAAGTACACCAGACCTCCACACTCAAGCGTCACGCTCACCAGGCACACCACTCACCGTGAACGACTTGGGAACCGATTACACGCGGTACTTCACACCCTTCTCAGATGGCAGAAAAACTCCCAGTCATAACTGGAGGACTTCTATTTCAGAAAGGCGGTTTCAAGCCCAGCTTGCACTCACCACCCCTCCGCCACGAGTCCCATCCGTCAACACCTTTCTCACACCTGTCGCTCCCGATACTGGAGCGTCCCAAGGGTCAAGTACTTTATACGATGTGGAAAGGAATGCATCCTTTGTGGACGACCGCTTGGTTGCACCCTACGAAGAAAAGGGAATCGCATCCTGGCCATTGGTATGTGATCAAGAAGAACTAGACGACGAAATGCACATGCCTCGCGATGACGATGACATACGATTCAGGCCAAGGATACAGGATCATTTCACCAAGGACAGCATTGTCTCCACCATCGGACTAGTCCTTATGATGTCTGGATTGATGTTCATATTTGTCGGACTACCTATCCTCTCTGCTGTGGGTCTCATTGATTACAATTCTGCATATGGTATGCCACTGAGTATGTTCCCCTACTATTGGGTACCTCATACCTGGGCCACAGTGAATAACAGACAATACCCACTGCTGGCGAACATGAGAAAAGGCCTGATCGACCCTGATACACCCAAGACCGTAAGGACAAGAAAGGGCGAATACGGCGATGATTACACACTAGTATTTAGCGACGAATTCAACAAAGAGGGCCGATCGTTCTACGAAGGAGATGATCCTTACTTCTTCGCCCCCAACATCTGGTATGGAGCCACACAAGACCTGGAGTGGTATGCCGCCGATGCTGTGGCAACCAGTCATGGATCGCTTCAGATGCGCTTGGAAGAGTTCTTCAACCACGGCCTCAAATTCAGGTCTGGCATGTTGAATAGCTGGAACCAACTGTGCTTCAAAGGGGGCATCTTCGAGGTTTCGGTATCCTTGCCTGGGCCAGCAGGTGTTCAAGGACTTTGGCCTGGCGCATGGGTAATGGGCAATCTTGGTCGACCCGGATATTTAAGTACCACGGACGGGTTATGGCCCTATACTTATCAGGCCTGTGATGCTGGCATCACGCCCAACCAGTCCAGCCCTGATGGTTTGTCTCACCTGCCTGGCCAACGACTTCCATCATGCACCTGTCCTGACGAAGATCATCCTACACCTGGAACCGGAAGAGGTGCGCCAGAAATCGACATCATTGAAGCAGGAGCTTTCTCAGGCTACCCAGGACCTCAAGGATTACCCATAGCAACGCAAAGTTACCAAGTTGCGCCGTTCGATATCAACTACTACCCAAACTATAACTTCACGGCGTTTCCAGATCTCACTTTGAGTGGGTTGAACACGTATACCGGTGGTCCCTTCCAGCAGGCCATCTCTGCGACTACAGTGCTCAACAAAGACTGGTATGATAACAAGCAATACCAGCGCTTCTCTTTTGAATATGTGCCCGGACAGGGCAAAGAGGCCTACATACTGTGGAAAGTAGGCGACCAGACAATGTTCATGATGGATGGCAGGGCGATTGGAGCCAACGGCAACATACAAGCCCGTCAGATATCAGAAGAACCCATGTCCCTGATTCTCAATCTCGGTTTCAGTAACTCATGGACTTATATCGACTGGAGCAACTTAGTGTTTCCGGCAACAATGCATGTCGACTATGTAAGATGGTATCAGAAGAAGGAGGAGAAAATGGTGACGTGCGATCCTCCAGGCTTCGAAACGACAGAGTACATTGAGAAGCACGCAAAAGCCTACCAAAACCCAAATTACACTGTAAGAGTCTTGTAGAGCGATGGAGAGAATCGAGTAACTAATGTGAATCAGTTGTGGGACCAAACGGGCTATGCCTGGCCCAAACACAGGCTCAACAGCGAATGTTGACAACCCAAGGCCTTTACCGACCGAGTCCACAATGGAAAGCATGATTACGGTATAGCCTTTCTTTTCTCGACGGTCCATAGACGTGTCGACTGTGTGCCACTACATGATAGCCCGATGCCCCTTTCCTCCATTGAATCATGCAGCTGTATCTTAGGAGTGGGGCACTGGCGGTATTTAGGCACCATGTGCTGATTGCATATGAGGCGGTGGAACAATAGCTCTTTTGCAGCGACATGAGAATATTGGTTCATGTTAATGAGTGGCATTTAATGGCGAGCATGTTCAGATTGAGTTTTGTTGCGGAAGCAGTTCAACTCAAGTAGCTCTACGCATTTGGAACAATGAAACAAGCCACAGAGATCTTTGTTCGTGTTTCTCTTGTGACCGTTTGTGAGACATTGTAATGTCAACATGCCAATGTTTGATTGAGATAATGGCTGGGTTTGATCTAGGCTACAAATGCGCCCAACTCTTGGCCATATCGGAGCATTAACTACTATTTGCAACCCTTGTAATTCAGTGAAATATCAAGTTTACTATGTAGACTCATGCCGCGCTCCCACTACTAAATACTTTGCCAAAGGCGTCGCCTTCTTCCATGCTCAGCCCTTCATCCAAGATGTCATGCGCCATGTTGACAACCTCATCTTCGATGCCGGACTCCAAAACCAAGCCTTCACTGAAGGCTAGCCGTGTCAGGGCAACAAGATATGCATGCTGTCCGCCCAATGTGTTCACTAGCTTGGTCTTGATGTCAAATTTGGGATTTGATGTGGCTATGTGGTGGATAAGCCTCATGGTTGCATTGATGGAGTTCACCTTGTAGTCTTGGGTGGGTGCAACTGGGTGGCGGTAAAGGCTTGTTATGCAATGATCCAGGTATTTGATGAACCGGCCAATACACAGTCGGTTTTGAGCTAAGCGACAAGACCCATATTCAAATATGGAAAACTGCGTGAGCACTGAGAGGACAAGGAGGCGTAGGTCCCATAGCTCGGCCTCGGACACTAGTATGGTGGATGTAGGTGATGCGGCAGGATCCGGCACAGGCTTGGGTATCTCGGTGAAGAGGTTGGTGAGACGATTGATTAGAGCGTCTTCATTGTTTGCTTGATTATCTGCAGCAGGATCTGGTGTGTTAATGGGCCCAACCGAGGTGGTGAGAGCAGATGTGCCCAATATGCGTAACATGAGAGTCATCTGCGCCACAGGCTGCTCTTTGACTAGGAGCATTAACGTAAAGCTAGAGGGGATTGCTTGCCAAAAGCGGACAATGGCTCCGGGATCTGATGAGGATAGACAGCTAGTTGCTACTAAGTAGAGCAGCTCGAGACAGTCCTCCACATCGATGTAGGCAGTAATTTGGCGCTGTTTTGATGAGTATAGATCTGCGATTGCTTTGTCACCCCCCCTGGCTGCTTTGGATATGGGGTCAGCCACAAGATCAATGGAAGCAATGATGAGTGGAACAATGCGTTGGGCAATCTCTACAGCAGTCTCGACTGGCTCGCATGCGAGGATAAAGTGTAGCGCATCGAGAATCAACGGAGTAGGGACATAGTATTTTTCGGTTTGACATCTTTTCCAGAGGTCGAGAAAGACATGGCACAGGTGCAAGGCTAACTCATGCACATCATCGATAGTCATGTTTGCTAGCGCATCGTACACAATCGACGACAATTTCTTGGTGGGGGAGGAGGGAAAGGCATATCTGGTCAGTGCCTCAAGTACACGGTCTGTATCAATCGAGGACGGGTGGGAAAGCAGGCGGTGCAATAAGGCGAATCGACGGTCGTCGTGTCTGAAGTGCTGCAGCAGTGCCGCATCTATCTTGACTTGGGCTGCTAGCGGCGGTTCCCGCTCCTTGGGTCGACTACGCGGCCCGCTCAGCTGTAGGGCGGGCAGTGGTAGGGGACTTTGGTCAACGACATGCCGCTTGCGCTTCCCGGCCTTGGGGGTAGCAGTTTTTGGTCTGTCGCGATGTCTGGATGGGGATGCCATGACTACGTCGTCATCGTCGAAGCCGTCGGCTAGCGGCCCTCTTGTCGTGTGTGCTCCCTTGGGCGTGCCTGCGGGACTGACGGGTGGCAGAGTTGCCGTTGTTTTTGAGGGCACAATCCTTGCTGTTCTTCGTGGGATGCCAGCTTCGCGTGCCTCATACTGGTGGAACATGGTGTCTGTCTGGGCCGACTCTGCCTCGCGGCGCAGACCGTCCATCTCGGCGCGTAGCCTGGCCAGCTCTGTACCATGGGCATGTTGCTGGTCGGCCAGCTGGCGCTCGTATCTTTGGGTGTCGATGTCATGGCGTCTTCGAAGGATGTCGGCTTCACCTGACTTGGTCTGCAGCTTTTCCCTAAGCGCGTCGGCCTCTCGTGTCTGGCGGGCCTTGTCTTGCTCCAACTGCGGGCATCAGCAAGGTCGAGGGAGCATACGAGCGGTGCACAAAGGATATCGCACCTGGGTGATGCGCTGGAGCAGATGCTGAGGGTCAGACTGCTGGCCGTGTGCACCGGCGGCACCGTCGTCGTAGTCGTCGTCGGCTTGCTGGGGCTGTGAAGGCAGCGGCGCCTGGGTCGTCACCACCCAGGGCGAGGCAGTCGGTGGGCCAGAGGCATCATTCAGGTCGACAAGCTCTGCGCCGTCATCGTCGTCGTCGTCGAGGCCATAGTCGGAGGCGGGTGCAGAGCGGCCAGGGTTGGGCGGGTGGTAGGCGTGCTGGGTGGCGCGCAGGGCATTGGTCTCGAGGTGGTGCAGCGTGTTTGCGGGGAGGTGGTCGAGGTCGTCGTCGTCGAAGCCGTAGTCGTCGTCGTCGTCTTGGTCGGGCATGGTGGCTCCATCGGGGCTAGAGAGGCTGTGCTGGGGCGTATGCTTAGTCGTGGTGGCATTAGGCCGTCGTCGCTAAACGGAGGAGCAGCCATGACGTCTGTCCGTTGTGACTTGTCCGCTGCAATTTCACAGCCTGCCTACTAGTAATAGCCAAATCCTCCCTTGCACGCCTGGCCCACCACCGCGCCCTCGACCACCCCGCCGTCGCATTCACCACCCGACGACATCCACCACAACTTCGACTCCCACTCCACCCGCCATCACCACCACCATCACCATCACCGCCCCCAACCCCTCGCTGCAGGCTCCCACATAGCTGCTGCTGCCATCCCCACCCGCCCGCGCTCACCATGGCGCGCCCTCGCAAGGACGTCAAGTTCCAGCATCAAACGCGCAGTGCCAGCAATGGACGGGCTCGTAGGCCCTCGCAGTCTCTGTCCGAGTTCAGCGACCCCGGAAGCCCAACCACCATCAAGGAGGAAGCGGCTCCCCCAGTACGTTTGGCCCGTCTCTCTCCTCTGCCCTCGCCCTACTGACTAGCCTAGGCCCCCGAACAACCCCCTCAAACAGAGTACGAGAAGAAAAAGGCAAACTTCATCACCCGCACAATATGGACCCTCGTCATGATTGCCGCCTTCTTCTGGGCTCTCGGCGCTGGCCACCTCTTCATAATTATCATGGTCACCGCCGTCCAATGCATATCCTTCAAGGAGGTCATTGCAATCGCAAACGTGCCCAGCAAGGCCCGCAGCCTGCGCTTCACAAAGTCGCTCAATTGGTACTTTCTCGGCACCGCAATGTACTTTTTGTACGGCGAGAGCGTCATCTACTACTTCAAGCATATTTTGATGGTTGACCGGCTGCTGCTTCCTCTGGCTACCCACCACCGCTTCATCTCCTTTATGCTCTACATTATTGGTACCCGAACCCCTCTATTTCATTCCGCCTTATCCAGCTAACCCCAGCCAGGCTTCATATTTTTCGTCTTCTCCCTCCAGAAAGGCCACTACAAGTTCCAGTTCACCCAATTTGCATGGTCACACATGGCTCTGTTCCTCATTGTCGGACAAGCTCACTTTGTTATCAACAACATTTTCGAAGGCTTCATCTGGTTCATCCTCCCCGTGTCCATGGTCATCACAAACGACATATTTGCCTATCTCTGCGGAATTACGTTTGGCAGGACTCCATTGATCCAAATCTCGCCCAAGAAGACATGGGAGGGATTCCTGGGTGCCTGGTTCTTTACCGTCCTCTGGGGTGTCGCCGTCACTCATTTTGTCTCCCAATACAAGTACTTCATTTGCCCTGTCAACGACTTGGGCGCAAACATCTGGTCTGGACTCGAGTGCAGACCCAATCCCGTCTTTGTTGCGCGCGACTACACAATTCCCTTCCTTCCCGAGGGTATTCCGTTCCCCCGCACCTTCAACATCATGCCCGTTCAGTTCCACGTCATCATGCTAGGAACCTTTGCCTCGCTCATTGCACCATTCGGCGGCTTCTTCGCCTCTGGCTTGAAGCGAACATTCAAAATCAAGGACTTTGGTGATTCCATTCCCGGACATGGCGGCATGACGGACCGCATGGATTGTCAGTTCATCATGGGGTCCATTGCATTCTTCTACTACTCGAGTTTTATTGCTGTCCACCACACGACAGTCGGTGGTGTGATCGAGTCTGCCATTACCGGACTTACCTACGAAGAGCAGATGGAAGTTGTCAAGATCTTGAGCAAGCACCTAGTGAACCAGGACATAATATCACCAAAGGTATGTTTCTTCTCTTGTCAAGCCCGTATCTTGGATGCTCACTTTACCGTTCCAGGTGCTTGAACTTCTCTCTGAGCAAATGGTGCGGAGATGAACGCAAGATGTGGATTTAGATTAATCATTTAATAGAGTGTTTAGTGGTCCAAGAGGAGGTTTGGGGGGAGGAGGGGAGGAATCAAATTTGGCGCTGCCAAGTAGACGCAGCTCGAATTTCGACAGGCATGGCATACGGCATCAGCCGTGGGCGGTAGGTATTGGTAATCGGGCGCATATACCCTTTCCGCAGTTTGGCGCACACTTGGAACATGAGTTTCTTCCTGGCGCGCATCAACGTAGCATACAAGTAGTAATATTCTTTACAATTTGCCTACTAGTAGAAGCTTGAGGCTCCTAGTGAGGGGAGGCATGGCGGACGTGCGCAACCGAGGCTTCTGCGCACGGGCCATTTGCTGCAACTCAAGTTTTGGGCCTGTTCAGATAGGCAAAGCATCACATCAACGCCAATGCCACCACGCCCATTTGTGAACGACCGACTATGGCGTTGTCTCTGTCCTGGGTTTCCGCCTAACTCGACGACAAGCGCCACAGTAGCAGCATCGGCTAGACGGCCACAGCGCAATGCGACACAGAATGATGGATCAACCTACCCCCGCAGCCAGTTACGTGCCTATACTCTGTCCAAGACATGTCGCGCGGCCAACGAGTCCTTCTTCTCGCAGCCCGGTGTTGCGCCCACTGGGTTCCGGCCGTTTGGCGAGCAATCCCACGTTCCTCGCCCCGTCAGTTCCCGGCAAAAGCCTTCGCTCGCTCAGCTTCCAACCGACCTTCTCTACGACCATGCCCGCGCCGAGGGCGCCAAAGGCCATTGGGATGAGGTCATGAACATTTGCAGAGTTTTGATCAAGGACAGAGGAGAGCAGCCAAACAGGGAAATGTACACGGCCATACTACATAGCTTCGTCAGTTCCAAGGATGGCACAGCCGGCAAGCTGCGCAAAGTGCTTGAAGAAATGGGATTTTGGAGTCAGACGGATGCGTCCCTGTTTGGAGCCCCAAGAATTGAGCTTGACGCTCGTGCGTGCGAGTGTGTGCTGGAGGTGTTGGCGGTGCATCCTGACTACCTTTTGCGCTCCGAGATTCTCGAGTACATGAAGTCGCGCTGGCTCACCCTTTCCACTCGCGGGCAGAACTTTGTCGTGGCAGGGTTGTTGCGAGAGCGCCACTTCGAGCAGGCGCTTGACACAATAGAGGACATGATTAGGAACAACATACGTGTGGAGAATTGGCTGTTTGACGAAGCCATGTGGATTCTATTGGAATTCAAAGAAGTGGAAGAGGCTTTCTATGTCCTGGGCCTCAAGGAAACAGTGCAAAACAAGGGCAGTGGCACGGGAACTGCCAAGGTGAGTGATGCGCTCTTGAGCGCATTGCTGGACGCGGCGGCAGAGAGTCAGCTTGTATGTGTAACACGAATCCAAGAATCTACCCATAGCACAATGCTGATGCCGCGCAGCACGAAGAAACAGTCAAAGTGTGGATGACTCAAGTTCAGCCGGGCTACCTGAAACCGGGCACTGGCACTTGTATGTCTGTTCTTGCCCTCGCCTCTCATCACGGAGACGTCGAACTTGCCACCGACGTCTTTCGTCTGCTTACGGAACGGGAAACCACTTTTACGACTCACCACTACGAACTCATCCTATCTACTCATCTACAAGCCAACGATGTTGAGGCTGCTCTATCCGTGATTCTCATCATGGTCGATGCCAACGTCAAGGTCGATGCTGCAACGTGCCAGCCACTGTACCGCTACTTGTCTGCGGATACGGGTGATGGGGCTAGCCGCTCGTTAGAAGCTTTTGCCCTCCTGCAGGAGTTTGAGACTGCTGGCCGCAGAGTGCCCACAGCGGCGGTGAATGCGTGCATCCAGGCTAGTCTTGCCCTGGGTCGGCTTGAGGAGGCGATTGAAATATATAAAGCCCTTCATACTGTTTCACGCGCAGGGCCTAACACCAACACATTCAACATCCTCTTCAAGGGCTGCCACAAGTTTGTACGCAAGGAACTGGCAATGTTCTTGGCAAACGAGATGATGCAGCTTGGGCTGACACCCGACCGCATTACCTATGATCGGCTCATACTGGTCTGCCTACGGTGCGGCGACTTGGAAGATGCCCTGCTATACCACGAGGAGATGGTGTCGTCGAGCGAGGGTGATAGGCCGATGAAGCCCCGAAAGAAGACTTGGGAGCTTCTCATACACGCTTGCGTGGATAAGGGTGACGAGAGAGCAGTTGCGCTTCTTAACGAGTACAAACGAGAGATTGACGAGCCCCGCATGTCGGTGGAGAAGGCCGTTGTCGAGCGTTTCGAGTATGGAATGCTGCCGACGCGCCGAGCATCTGGAGGGGGAGGCATCGAGGCTGGTCGATTGCATGGCGTGGAAGATCAACACGTCAGGCCAGCAGCAGAGGTGACACAATTCCTAGGGCTCGGTGCCGACACAGGGCGATCGGGGGCAAAAGATGGGTTTTGGCACCAAGGCAACGAGGCCGGTGCGAATACGGAAGCGGACTTGAAGGAGAGCGCCGATCTCGAGGGCGCACGGCCCACTGTAGCAGCTAGCGAAGAGACAAGGCCATCCTAAGAGGGAAGGAAGTGCGTGCGCGCACGCGCGAACCTTTGGGACGGCCCAATAAGTAGCTTGATAAGTGCCTGGGGGGCTGTGATTAAGTAGATGGTATTCACCGGACACGCTAACAGACTTGCTGGGTGTGTAGGTTTCGAGTAGTCGTATCGCCATGGGCGTCCACGATGAGCGTGGGGGGAAGGGGCCTGGACGTATATGTCGCAGCGTCGATGATAAGTACGTACACTAACTCTACGTACGTGCGCGTGGGGTCATGACATATCGAGACCGGGCGGTCTGGCGGTGATTATTCACGACATGCAAATTCGTCGTCGCACGAGCTTGCTATCTCTCAACCATTGCCATACAGGCCGCGCACGGCTGCTGTTGCTGTGGTGGGGTGGAGAGGGCCGGAGGAAGACAGCTGCCGAGGCCGCGGGCATCGACGAATAGGAGCACGGGCGAATCAAGGTTTTCAAGCAAACTAGCTCCCTCTTGGAGAAGCTTAACTCCTACCGCAGAGCCGCAGCACTCAACCGCTCCACTCCACGCCTCAACTCGGACAATAGCGTTGCGGCCTTTTCCAGGATCATGCTCCCTAGCCGCTCGACCCGATACCACCCAAGCCGAGCTATTGCCGTCGACGCGCCCTGCCTTTTTTTTTCTCTTGCTGGCCTGCTTTCAAATGCCGTAGACGGCGACTCCACACTGGCGACGCGGCCACTACTCTTCCGACCGGTGTGTATGGGGTTATGCCTGAAACGGCCACGGGAGCCTGCTAGGACGTTGCGTCTCCGGTGTTTGGTTTGACCCCAAGATGTGGGGACTGAAATGTCGAATGATGCACTGACTGGAGTCTCCATGATGGCACCCACACGACGGAACTGGCATTGTGGGGAATGGTTCTGGAGTACAAGTAGGCTCCTCTCTCCCGACCTCTTCTTCTCGTGCAGTCCCTTCTGTCCCCTCTTGCACCTTGACTCCTTCCATCTCTGACCACAATGGGACTCAGCGGCAAAACCCTCCAGACGGCCCAGCTTTTGCTCGTTGTCCTACCAGCCTTTGTGCTGTTCGGGTACAACCAGTCGGGCGTAGGTGGTCTCCTCTCCCTCCGCGACTGGAACGACCACTTCCCCGAAATCAACACCGTCGACACCCATGGCGCTGAGAAGAGCAGCAACTCTACCAAGCAGGGTGCAGTCGTTGCCAGCTTCACCATCGGTGCCCTCTTTGGTGCTCTATCCTGTTCCTGGATCGGAGACTACCTCGGGCGACGGAAGCTCATCTTCTTTGCTGCAGGCCTAACGCTTATTGGCGAGATACTGCAATGCACCAGCTTCCAGCTTGCCCAATTCGTCGTCGGCCGCTTCATCCTCGGATGGGGTGTGGGTGCTCTGAGCGCCACAGTCCCAGTCTGGCAATCCGAGTGCTCATCGTCTGCCAATCGTGGCAAGCACGTCGTGCTAGACGGATGCTTCATCTCTCTGGGCTACCTCCTCGAGGCCTGGATCAACCTGGGTTTCTTTGAGCAAGACAACTTGCCCTTGCAATGGCGCATTCCTCTCGCTATCCCGACTGTCATTTCGGTCATTCCCATGTTAGCGGTATTCAGCATCCCTGAATCACCTCGCTGGCTTGTAGCAAAGGGCCGTGTCGAAGACGCTCGTGTCAGTCTGTCCAGCTTCAAGGGCCTAGACCTGCACGACCCTGAGATCACTGCCGAGATTACTGGCATTGAGATCACGCTCGAGGAAACCGGCCGCAGCGCAGCAAAGATGAGCGACATCTTCACTATGGGCAAAGACAAGCTATTCTACCGCTTTGCTCTCTGCATTTTCCTCCAATTCTTGCAGCAGATGTGTGGCAGCAATCTCATCTCCACCTACTCAACTGTAAGCTCGATTAGTTCAATCTTATTCATGATCATCGTACTAATTCATTTCTGTAGATCATCTTCCAGCAGGGTCTAGGCCTTAACAGCGAAACCTCGCGCATCCTGTCCGGCGGCGCGTTGACCTGGAAATTCCTTTCCTGCTTTGTCGCCTTCTTCACCATTGACCGTTTTGGACGTCGCAAGCTCTTCATGTTCAGCGGCGCCGGCATGGCTTCTTGCATGTTGGCACTAGCTGTCGCATCCAGCTTCCCTAAGACGAATCAATCTGCCCAAATCGCCTCTGCATTCTTTGTCTTCCTCTTCAACTTTTTCATCCCTATCGGCTTCCTTGGCGCAAACTTCTTGTATTGCACCGAAGTTGCGCCAACCCGACTCCGCGTGCCCATGGCTGGTATCTCCACTGCGAACCATTGGCTTTGGAACTTTGTCGTCAACATGGTCACTCCTGTACGTATAAGTGTTCTGTTTATATCTTGATTTCTGCTAACGCGCAACACCAGGTCGCGATCGAGACCATTGGATGGAAATACTACCTCGTTTTCCTTGTCATCTCGGCCATCATTCTCCCCGTAGTCTACTTTGGCTACCCCGAGACCATGGGTCGTAGCTTGGAGGAGCTAGAGGTCATGTTCACAGAGGGCAAGAGCATTCCTGCCATCGTTAGCATGTCGCGTAAGCCTTTTACCGGCAGCATTGTGCCTGAGGACAAGCTTGAGAAGATAGACAAGAATGTCAGCGAGGAGGAATTTGTATGAAGCTGCTATGGTCAGATTGACAGTTTCCACGTGGAGTGAAGCCTGTGGCTTTTTGTATACATGACGAGTATCTGAAGACTAGCTACGCTACGATATTATGATGAATGGAAGCAATGAATGATTCATGTGAGAAATTACCTCTGATCTGTATGTGAATGCTTTCTAGGACTTGGAGTACTTGCGTTTTATACTATTCTCAGCTCTAGGAGTGAAGCTGAGGGTCAATTGACAATGAACAGATGTTATCGACATGCACACCCCGCTGATTATATCAATGAGCTTTCCCCATGAAAACTAAAGTCTCGAAGCTTCCTGGTTAGGACACATATTTTAGCGCTTGGGAAGATGCAAGGGACATGAGGGGCTCAGCCGCTTTGACGATCCTATAATTCCTTCTGTGCACCCACAGCCCCCAATCGTGTAGTACTACTTACTATCTTGTCCAAGCTAAAGCTTTAAATGTCTAAGATACGGAAACTTGGACATCGGAGGTTTGACCCTTTGCTCTGATTGGTCCGGAGCGCGTCATTCGATCGGCAGCAACCGGGACAGAGGGAAAAGACGCTAAGCCCAGCCACCAACATCACATTCCCCCCGCGTTCTGTAGGCACTGTAGATCACTGTGGCCTATTCAGCCTCCAAGGCGCACAGTAAGGCACGCTGCGTAGGTATAGGTGGAGGGCAAACCATACAGTGATGTGCGTGGAAGAAAAAAAACCCTACTACGATTGCTGATCGTTGGTATACCAAGCCACTTTTGCATTACCATCTTCAGCAATGCTACGTATGTGGCGTAGTGCAGGCTTCCTATGTTGGATTAGTGGATGAGGTGGCTATTTTGAGGGCTGAGGCGCAGCGCTCTGAGGTGCAAGGCTTAGAAACACCCATGTGATGAGATTCTAGCTGGATAGTGTGGGGTAAGGTAGGCCTGGGACCGGAGTGCACATAACATATATTCAAGGCAGAAGACAGGAAGTCATTCGATACTTTCTCTTAAGAAAGATCTATCTATACCAGCACGTGCCTTTAAACTTTTACTATACCCCCAAGCCTCGACTCACATATTTGTTTTCATCCAGTTCCGCCCCAACAGCATCCTGTACATACTACCCTACCACGAACGGTATGACCTCGGCAAAGTCCAAAGCCAGTGAAAGCGGCACATCAAAGAACGACACGGCGGGCACATCAACAGCCTCACACGATACACCACCGGCCTACGATGGCTCCTCCACCTCCGAGCCACCACCAACCTACGAATCCGTCGGACGCGCCCTAACGGCCCTGTCCCAAGGCGACCCAGACGAGTTAATCCTAGTTCCGTTTGTAACTCGAACCGTGGGCTTCAGCATTCACAACTACAACCCTTTTTCACACAAGCAAGGCGAGATCCGCCAGTCGATTGTGACGCGCCGCATGAAGCGCTCGCATTACCTCGCCCACTACGTCAAGGACATGAACGGCAACTTTGTCGGCACCAGCACTCCGGCGGTAGATGCGGCTCTCGTATTCGTGCCGGGCAAGAGTAGCCCCGAGGACTCGCTGCGCCAGGTCAATGAGGTGGCGTTCAAGGTGCAGAGGTTGAGGGGCGATGGTATTGGTGACTGGGGGAAGCCGTTGCAGGACCATCCAGCAGGATATGGTGGGGGTGGAATGGCCATGTAGGGTTCGTAGTGTATGATGTGTGCGGATCTTTTTTTTGTTCTGTTTTCTCTATTCAATGGGAACTGTTTATGTCGTCGGAAGAACTTGACGGTTTCTGGTCGTGAAAGGTGGTGAATAAACTTCTCAATCCCATTTAGTTTATGACAATACTCAAAAGTGTCCTATGGTGATTTGCAAGTCAATTGCCATGATTCTTCAACATTAGCTATTCAACTACCGGACGTCCATATCTATCATACGATATCATCATGTGGCCTAACATGAAGTACATTAACAATTGGCAAGATTTTCAAAGTCGAATCCTTGGGTAGGATTGACTTTCTTATCACTAGCTTAAAGTTGAGAAATGAGTCCAAGGTCGTATATCCCGGCTGCGACGTCAGAATGATGCAGGACAATCCATTTCAATTTCTGATTCGCCTCGACCTTTAATAGTAACCTTTGTCATTCCAAGGACTTCTCCTCTTAGCCCACTCTTCAATTGGCGTTAGCTCCACACCCAGATCACTGATGATAGGCTTCATGTCTATGTTGAACGGCTCATCTTCTGCCTCATTGTAGTACGTATACGCCTTGAACATCTGGCTCACCACCGTCTCCGTCTCCAACCCTCTTCCCTGCATTGTCTTGCTAATCTTGTCACAAAAATCTGACACAGTCTGATTTTCGTAGCTCAGCTCCTTGCCCCAGGCTCTTGATAGTTTCTCCGTGAGCCGGGAAAGCACAACAGTCTCAGGTCCGCCAATAGGAATGTCGCGTCCGGCAAGTTCCGGTCTATGCATAGCAGCCATCATAATTTGCGCGACATCATGGTGGCAGATCCATGATACGCGAAGGTCTGGCTTGTGGCAGTAGACGACGGTCTGTCGGTCGCGGATTGGAGGCAAAGCCCAGCCTTCAAGAAGATTGTCAAGGTAAACCACGGGCTCAATGCTGATTACCGGAACATGCTCCCGTAACAAGGATCTCATTGCTCTTCGATCATCCTGTGCTTGGATCTCTTGTGGCTGCTTGGGAACCGGCATGCTGGTATTGAAAAGTATTAGAGGAACCTTGGCTTTCTTCGCAGCTTCACCAATGTCTCTTGCAGCGGCGATGATGGGTTCGGACTTGTTGAAAGAAGTTGATGGTAGGTTGAGGAACACTCGGTCTGCGTCTTGAAGTGCCTTTTCAATGGTAGCTTTGCTGGAAAAATCTGCAGCAAACGTTTCGACAGGCTTTCCGTCAACGTGTAGCGGTTGAGGGTTGCGGCTGACTGCAACCACGGAATGACCTGCTTGCGCAAGGGTGTGGACTTGGTGGCGGCCCTGAACGCCGGAAGCTCCAAATACAACGACACGCATCACAACTGAGTTCCTTATGCTTTGGCTTTGCTGAGAGATATTGAGTTATCTCACATACAGCCGTCTTGGTTGTGCTGTTGTATTTGCTGGCGTCATTCCAGGTGGAGAGACGGCGGAGTTGATCAGCCGCTACGGAAAATCATATCCGTGTTACGCACTTGATAGTGTCCGTCAATTTCAGTATACCTTTCATTGCTGTCCATTCAGATCTCAACTCGCAGGTGAAATTACTGTTTGCTGCTTGGCTAATTTCCTTATCGAGGATCGTTGTGTCATTGCGTTTCCAGGACCCCCCTGGAATCCGGGGTGTAGCATGCCTCTCCAATCTTGCTCACAGACCATCAATCCATTTAGGGCCAGCTATGCAGAAGTGGGTCGACCTTCTGTATTTGGTAGGATTCTGCGACGCTGATCATCGAATAAACATAGAGACGGCAGGAACAGATAGAGAATGGGTAGCAATATAGATGTTCAAACACATAGCTACCCGGCTGTGTGGTCGCTCTTGTATTTCCCCGACCTGATGATAAACGACGAAAAACCTTTAGGTCCCAGTCTAGCCTTACCCAGCTAGTTGTAGCATCTATCCCACGTGGCCCTGGTTTCTAAATTGCACTGCAGGACGTTCCGGGACACCGTTCAGCCGTTATCACAGAGTCTCTGGTCTAACAAGGCTACCCGGAGATGTGGCTGCAGCGCTCATAATACTTCCGGTTGCCCCGCCCTTCTATTGGCAACTTATTCCACAGACGATATTGCTTTGCGGTAAGCGAAACACAAAGGTCGGACAAACATAGCTTCCAATCACTGACGTCGAAATTGGGGCTCGCTGAACAAATGCAGGGAGAACGGATCTCTCTTTTTGTCCAACAGTCCATGCATCCAAACCCCAGCCCATCAAAAAGACGAGCATGGCGGTAGCGCAATGTGTTATCTATCTACAGAACCCTATAGAAGCGGCTGGATAATGGCGTGAGTGGTAACACTTGGGCTGAGTTTTCGGAAGAGACCGAGGATCGGTGCTACAGAAGGTAGATGGCGAATTTCAATGGACAAGTACCCAAGGCATGGGGCTGACCCCAGTCACATGCTTGGACTACTAATGCTGGTACCAAGGTGCGGCGGTACTTGGTGGTGAGCCAGTGTGCGTTGCGAAACCTAGCAGTAACTCCAGACCCTAGAGACGGTTATCTTGGTCGGTAGCGAACTAGGCAACCGAGCTCTTCGGTGTGAGAGTTAAGTATGGAACCATGGTGCTGCTCTTGTCCGTGTGGTCTTACCGTGCCGCGGAGAAAGAGGTTTCCTCTATTGACCAGGATATGAGATCTTGGCGCCGGGGCTTCAGAGACAAAGTCGGGTAGCCGGAACGCAGCTGGAGATTGGAAAGCATTGGCTGCATGGATATATGACTTCCCATGGGCTGGTGGTGTTGAGTTCTGTAGAGCAAAGGCGCAGGTGTACAAGCGAGAAAGGTGGACCCTACTGACATGCCAGCCCACGGTGCCGAGGTCGCCGTAAGAAGAAATCGCTTTATCGGGTTGAAACATCGCGGAGCGGTGACGATGAAGGTTCTGCCCAAGTTCATTGGAACGGGCAACTCTGACCGGCATGGAGCTGATGATGGTCGTCACTCCGAGGAGCGGCTCGGCATGAAGCACCGGCTGCAATGTCAATTCCTCATTACATCCTGCGAAATTTGAAATGTGGATCGCCAGTTTCCACAGGGCGATGAGCTTGAGTCGCGTTGACGAGGAGCCCTGTATAGTCGCCACGGTTGCAGCCCACAGAGGCTGGTCGTAATCTGGTGACAGGCTGTGCAGTGTAGAGTACATCTCCACCTACAGGTACTGCATACGAGATCTGCACAGGCTCGTTTTCGCTTCTGCCTTTTGGGAGGAGGCGTTGCTCTTATGGGACAAGCCCGGTATGTGCGGCAAAGGAAAAAAGAAAAGAAAAGAAAAGCTATGTGCGTACACGTACTGGAAAGCAGCCACAGCCATTGTCGTCTGGGGAGCCGCTGTCGTTCAGCGCGCGTCAGATGTGGCTTTCTGGCCCCATGGCCCTCTTTATCGAACCCATGCTGGCCAGGTTGGAGGGAGGAGATCCTATTGGTGGTTATTTGCGCCGCTGCACTGGGCCAAAGACGGTCGAGTATGTTGGATGTGGTGCAGCAGCATCCAGAAGCCAGAAGGCAAACGGGTTTAGGGCACAATTAACGGGCCCGTCCGTATCCACAGCGCTAATCACCAGCAGCAGTAGCGGCGGGGAAGCTGACTGCACTCGATTCCCCGATTCCCCTTGACAATGTTCCCTTTCTTAGCAAATTGACCGGCGTCTCGCCGTTTCGCTTTGCCTACCCTTCCATTGTAGACTCCTGACGACGCGTTCAGTATATCTGTATATCCATCTCCTTTCACCTTGACCAGACGCTCCAACTCGCCCCGTCAGCAACCACCGAACCCACGCGAGCGCAATGCTGTGCCAATCCACCTCAGCACATTTCCGTTTGCGTCTGCATGCCATGCGATCACTCCATGATTGGCCACGGACAACGTAACCGTATCCGCCGTGAACCCACTGTCTATTGCTGATCATGCACGGGCAAATCTTCCGCCCCTCATGATAATTCGTCGCCCAAGTAAACCGTTGGCTGGCCTCAACTCAACACGCCCTCGGCTATTGCTAGCAAGGCCCCAACCACACCTGCAACCCATATGCACACAAGACAAGGGTCGCTGCTTAGAATCTGACGCCCATGGTCGGAGCCAACCCTGACCGCAGGTGAACAGATGGGTCCCTTCCCTTGGGATGACGAAGCTTCCAGCTGCAATGGCAATCATCTTGTCCACAATATAGACCTTAAATTGCCTTTGCCCTATCTTCCAACATCCAGGGGAAAACATACCACGCAGCCGAGCATCCTCCGCTCCAGTAGTATCCTCGTAGTTTTGTTGTCTACACAGGCTGTTATCGATTCTTGAAACTTTGCAGACATATCAAGCCCGTTTCCACTCCGCCCCATCTGCCCGCGCTACCTTCGTATAGACTCGATTAGAGTTAGTCTCATACAGTCGATATGTCGACTACTGTCATGTTTTCACATACCAATTCGTTCGGGGAGCCCGATCTATATGGTCGAATGTCGGGACTGTCGCCAGGTTACGGGAGCTTTTTTAATAACTTCAACACTACCGCAGCGACAGAACCGATCAACTACAATAGCCACGCCCCGCAACACCAGAATCCTGGACAAGCACCTATCCATGGCTGGAGCTCGTCTTCTCTGTCGATATTGCAGCCCCAGAGCACACAACACACATTGGCTTCACAACCACACACCAGCACAGACCCGGCATCGACAGCAAGCATTAACCCAGTCGCTCTTTCAACCCCCACTTTTACCCCCGCCAATCGACCTACTGGGTACTATGACAGCACGTCGACTATCTCTTCATCGCAGTCCAACTTTGATACCAGCAACTCGGCATCACCAGTCAGCTTCACCGTACCCTCTCGCCGGGACAGCCTCTACCTTAAGGAGAGTAGCAGTCTATACTCTCAAGATGAGGAGACGCCCTCAAGGCGGCCCTCTACCACTACGACTGCCACCACCGCCGCCAGCCCCCCCTCAACCACCACTACGACAACAACAACGACGACGACGACTGGTCGACGAAGGCGTAGCTCGGAGTACGTAGAACCAGGCTCGGCGCGGGCCATCTACCTCGAGAAGAACCGCCGGGCTGCAAGCAAGTGCCGGAGCAAACAAAAACACGAGCAAGAACAGCTTGTCGAAAGATCGAGGCAGTATGAGCGTAAGAACCGAATGCTAAAGGCAGAGGTGGATATGCTGCAGTCCGAGGTACGAGCTCTCAAGGACTTGCTTGGCCAACATGCGCATTGTCCCGACCAAAGGATAGCACAGTACCTGCAGCTCGAGGCAAGTCGCTTAGCTTCCTCACGAAACTATTCGGCGTCGTTTTGATCAGACAGCTTGTACGCTGCGTCTTGGATCACCATGTTAACTCGTTTCTTCCCCTTCAATTTTTTTTCTTTATTATTTATTTTGTTTGCTTGCTTGCTTGTTTGTTTAGTTCAGTTAAAACGCAACTATAGGGAGGTAAGTTTACATGTCATGATTTGGGTGGACTAGCGTTGGAATACCACGAATGACGCGACATGATTATGTATGAAGACAAGAAGACATGAACACTTGGGATGGCTATGAAGCGTTGATGCCGTTCGAGACCTTACTCGGTCCTTGGTAGAATCAGGGTCAACGATCATCTGTAATATACCTTGTCAACCCCACAGGATTCTGGTCTGAGCAATAGTCTTTGATGATTTTCTTCTCCTCTGTCTTTCTGCCAACCCCATTTTGTTACACGTCTATGCCGTTTGTAGAACCCCCCGGCTTCAAGTGGTTTTCTAAACAAAGAGAACAGAGCTGCAGGGACATCTGTATAGAGCGGCTTGACAAACATCGACTACTCAGATGTTATGACTGGGCTGTAACGTGATGAGATGAATTACTGGCGGTGAAAAGAAGCAAGAAACAACAAGTCTTCCAGGTTCTTCTTGTGATGTCAAGTCGGGCCAAGTACCCCTTGCTCTCTTAGTCCAGTCATACACAACACTGCGAGACCCAGTGCAATTACAAAAGGCCATTACAGAGAGGAGTCATGAGGAGTCAATGATATGACCTTGTTGTTCCAGGCGGCGCCATGAAGAACCTGATTGCCGTTAAGATCCAGACGATACCTAATCCACCATGGCTTCCAATCTAGCGTGCGCATAGAGTGTATAGAACGGGATTGCCCTGGTGATGAGAACTTGGTGCTTAGATCATTTAAACCCACAAGTCGTGATTCTGTAGTATCCTGCCAATCGATGGTTTTGCGTATCGTTTTAGTCAACGTTCACCGTTCACCTGATAATGCGTGTATATATACGTGCGATGACGCCCTTGAGGCCCTAGCAGGCAATTGTATGAAGGCAATCACCGGGAAAAATGAGACGATATAGCGGCCAATCCACATGACACTGCAGTGGTCTTGGTGGTTGCGAATCAAGTAGCTTGCCTATCGCTTAGCGTGCTAGCTATGCTCCAACCCTGTGGACGAATCATTTTTCGGGGCCACTCTAGCCATTTAAGAAGATCGGGGGTTGCCGCCAACAACTGCTCTGAGGCTGTGAGTAACCACTGGGGCCATTTGCCAACCCACCATACTGGACGGCTTTGAGCCAGCATGGCGACGAAGTGGGTGGTGATGATGCATGTCACAGGGTTATGAGCAGCGAGGAGTTCGAGGAATCGACTTTCCAGCAGGGCAGGCCAGTAGAATAGAAGCGAGTACTCATCACGGTCTGCAGGTAGATGCCGGAAACGGAGCCATGTGGTGTGAAGCTCGTCAATGGCAACTGTACAAGCCACCTTGTCCTGGCTGTCTAGTAACAATTCGGTAAGCTCCTTCAAGCGCATGATTTCCTGGGGGTTATCCTGGCTCGCCAAATTATCCAGACCCTTGAGAAGGTCATCTGAAGGCGTGTCAGTCATGTAAGCAACAAACGCGCTGTCTTTGATTTGATGCCAATGGGGCATGACGACAATCTTGATGCCTTGCAGCAGCATGAAGCAGTGATGAAGTGCCGCAATAGGGTCTTCGGGCTGCTGGAGTTGTGCCGAGCCGAAGTTGTACGTGAAGAGCACCGACGACAACATGAACATGGGCAAGGCTAGTTTTACGTCTGGAATTTCGAGATTTTTCCTGTACGTGTCCAATGCTCGGCTGATATGGGAGTCTGCCTGGAGCAACAAGACCTGTCGATCGTTGGGTGGCAGCAGGAATGCTTGGTGGACGGCAGATAGGGCTAGGAAACCACGTAGGAGGAAGGGGAATTCGAAGCCCAGTTCCACGAACTCGGTCTGCCAAGCACTGCTCCGTAGGGAAGGGTTAGGATGCAGCGATTTGGCACATGACTTGATCCAGTGGTGAAGTAGTTGGAGGTCGGCAAGGGGCAGATCAGAACCGGCGTGGCTATGAGATACATCTGGGCTCTCGGGAAGTCCGACATCCCCGTACGATGAGCTGACGCCAGGGCTGTGCTGGGGAGACGAGGTGTAGCTCTCTGGTATGGTTGGGAATGTACAATGAATGTCCAAGCGAACGCAGTTTGCGCAGCGTGGTCGGGCTTCGTTGCACTACGACAGAGGGTAAGCAAAAGGGAGTCATAGTAATGCGTGGTAGACAGTGCAGTTTGGCCATGTCATGAGCAGACACGAGGATTTGCGTCGGGCATCGTGTCTGGGGATTGGCAAAGTTTTGGGCAAGATACGCTGATTGGCCGGGCAGGGCTGGGGCAGGTGTTGGGCTTCACACGTACTTTTGTGTGGCGTTGCTTGCACTGGAAGCATCCCCTTCGGGACTTTGTGTGCGTCTTGCGCTTTGCGACGCGTTTCTCTTTCTCCTTCTCTGTCATGGTCGTGGTGGAGGTTAGGGTGAGGGCGGCTGCTTCTTGGTAAAGGGCCATGCTCGCTCTCGGAGACCGGTGGGAGTGAGGCGATTATGTAAGCCCTCAGCCACGTGGTTGGATGGGAGAAGGTGTGGGTGGCTTTTGCTGCGCCACCGTCCCATGTTGCATGTTTGCTTTGCATTTCGTCTTGTTCCCATTCCACGCCGAAAAACCACCCAGTAAGTATGACCACTTGGGACTTGGCAGTCGGCAGTATGCCCCGGATTTTGTCCTGCTTGTCAGCCCACAGCCACCTGATTCCGATTTGTCAAGTCAGCCGGTGGACCGGCGTGCCGACATTGCTTCATCAAACGTTATCTGTCTGCTTGCTCCCCCGAATGCACCCTGTGTTGGTCCGCCCGGAGTCCCTGTCTGCGATTGTTACCAGGGACTCTGACCGGAAAACCAACCGTCACCATGCGCCGTTCAAAGAAGACGTCCTGGTGAGGATGGCATGGTGTTTGATGTTGTACCAGTAGTATCGTAACAATGTCAGCCTATACGACCGTCCGTGGCTTTGCCTGTGGCGGCATTGTGCCAATCGCATGGCCCAAGCACATGTCCGTATGGCAGTTGCACAGAGAGAGAGAGAGAGGGCCTGATAGCGATGATGTAGTGCTAGCATGCATGTATGAATGCACACGTACTTGTACTAAGATGGGCTTTTGTGTACTTGGCCGCATACTACACAGTAGGTAGCATGTATGTGTGTAGTGTACTATGTACTCTAGTAGTATGAATAAGTACAGTACATGTAGCGGCAGACAGGGTTCTGGGCAGGCACCGCCCGCCTAGCGTGCCGGAGCAGCCCAGGGTGACGTACCACCTTGCCGTCGCGTGCAGCGTGTGCCCGCCTGCATCCCACGGTTGCGAGTCTCGCCATGTGCCAAGCTGACTTTCTTTTCGCATACACTCCTCTCTCGCCCTAGCTATGGTACGTCTGGCATGCATCCAACCGTGCACCCACTGCAACTGCTTGCAACAAAGACAACTAACTGTCCTGCCTAGGCGTCGCTCCTGCGACAGCTCGTCGCCGGCCCTCGCGCCAGGCATCCCGAGGCCGGCCTCGACCTGTGCTATGTAACCGATAACAGTATACTCACCACAAGACCACAACCCTCACTCTTCATGCGCTGACCTCTTCTTGCAGTCATCGCCACTTCGGGCCCCAGTGGCACATATCCCCAGCGCGCCTATCGCAACCCGCTCGACTCCCTCGTCAAGTTTCTCGACTCCAAGCATGGCGACGACTGGGCCATATGGGAGTTCCGTGCAGAGGGGACAGGCTATCCAGACTCAGAGGTATACAATCGTGTGTACCACTATCCCTTCCCAGACCACCACCCTCCACCTTTCGCCCTCATACCCAACATCATGGCAAGCATGCGCAATTGGCTGCATGAGAAGAAAGGCCGTGTTGTTGTCGTCCACTGCAAAGCTGGCAAGGGGCGATCCGGCACAGCAAGTTGCAGTTATCTCATCAGCGAAGAAGGGTGGCCAATGCAAAAGGCGCTCGACCGCTTCACCGAGAGGCGCATGCGCCCCAACATGGGCAAGGGTGTCAGCATACCCAGCCAACTGCGCTGGATAGGCTACGTCGACCGCTGGACCAAGCACGGCAAGATCTACGTCGAGCGCCAGGTGGAGGTTCTCGAAGTGCACTGCTGGGGACTCAGGGACGGAGTCAAGATCCAGATAGAGGGCTTCGTCGAGGACGGCAAACTCATCAAGAATTTTCATACCTTCACCCGAGATGAGCGCGAGATTGTGCGCGGCGAAGTCAAGACCACGGGCATGGCACAGGCCGTCCAAGAGGTCATGTATAAGAACGGCTTCGGCCCTTCAAAGACAAACGAAGGATCCAAGAACAGCAGCACATTGTCTTTAGAACAGCAAACCAACACTGATGGCACTGCCGCTGAGCGAAAGACATCAAGCGAGAGTCTCCCCCTAGGCACAGGCGACGTCGTCTTTCGTCCTTCGAAGCGTGTAGTCCTTCCCACCAACGATATCAACATCGATGTCGAGCGCCGCAACAAGGCCGCCTTTGACCTCACCATGGTCACGGCTGTCGCTCACGTTTGGTTCAACACGTACTTTGAGGGCAATGGCCCGGAGCAGAAGGGTAACGCAGACGAATCCGGCATGTTCGAGATTTCATGGGATGCCATGGACGGCATAAAAGGCTCGTCTCGGAAAGGTACCCAGGCTTTTGAACGGATAGCCGTGGTATGGCGTGCGCTGTCCGCCGATGAAGGCCGACCTGGTGTATTGATCACAGAACCAAAAGAAGGAGAGCCTGTGCGACAGGTGCAACCTGCGGATTGGAGAGGCACGCACGGCGTGGAGCCGTCCGAAGGCAAAGACCTTGGTGTCCGCAGAGCAAGTCCGACCAACACTCAATCCGACATTAGCCGCGCAAACAGCGTCAGAAGCGAAAACAAAAAGAACACGACCGTTGTCAGCGCTCCTGGTCGCAGAGACAGCGAAGACAGCGATACCAAGGATGTGCGCTCTCACGGTCCCAATGGCGAGAGTGTTCTGCCAGAGCCCAGCGACTCCACGGTATCCGCCAAAGCAGCAGAGAGCGGGCCAGCGACAGCATCTACAGATGCCACACTGCCGAGCCAAATTCAAAGTAGCAGCGGCAACACCACAGCGAGCAAGTCGGAGCCTCTAGACCAAGGCAGTGGGTCGCATCACACGGGTCTTGTTGACGAGGTGGCAAAGGACATCAAGCACCACATTTCTGGCGCAGTCTCGACTGGCGAGCTGCCCGATGGCAAGCCCGAGAGCGAGATGAAGGATGCGAAAGAGCATGGCTTAGGGCACTTGGCCTTTGGAAAGAAGAAGACGAGTTCGTGAGCACCAGAACCCATTGCGCCAACGTTACCAAGGGTGTGTATGTGTGCATGGCTCTTGCAAAAAGCTGTGTGCTCGGCTTGGGGCATTGCGGGGCGTTAAGGGAGGGAGGGAGGGGTTCAACTTGCATGAGGGCTTTCTAGGAGGGGAGGGATTCGTGTGATTGGCGTCTGGTCTAGGTATCACAGCCTTTGTTACCAAGCATGTCCTGTACACGTTGCATGGGTGCTCTGACATCCATGTAGCGCTGGAAGGGAGACCATGTGCGTGTGTTTACCGAAGCTTCACTATATCGCTGTTTGGTTTGTGGCGTAGACTATAGCCTTGCTGTTTCAAATACATCCAACTACTGTTGTATTGTCAATCGGTGGTGTGACTCCTGCCTTGTTCGCCCCCCTGAGCATTTGTTGTCGTTGTAGCTTCATTTCCTTGCTCAAGCACTGGAAGGTTGGTAAACGGTAGACAATATGCATGCTTGGTGGCGAGTTGTTGAAGTGAGGCGAATGCTGTGCGTTCATCGCTAAAGCATCTCGACATGTCGTTTGTTGCAGCTAGCGCATGAAATCTAGATTTTTTCTTCTTCTTCTCCCCTAGTAAAATAACGTAGTAGAGGGGCCGTCTGGCCACTGATGATAGCACACGAAGATGAAGGAGTGCACCGCAGGAGCATGCATGGGAAACCACTACATAAAAACCTGAATGTGGAGTATTTGCCACCACAGGACATGTGCACGCGAGCGGAACGTGGCGCCTGTCCGGGACGACAATCACAAGAGGATATTAAGACGGCTACTCTATCAGGTTCATGGCGAGGAGAATAGGTTGCGTCCGGTGAAGCAAAGGAAGGGCCGTGAGACAAGGCAGCCAATACCCCGCAGAAACGTTTACTTGCGTTTCATAAGCCCTCAGCAATGGGTTAAACTCGGGGTTAGCGGTTGCCTCAACATGTTCAGCCCGTTGCTACTGTAAGTTGCGGAGCCAAGAGGATTCGCTGAAGTGGGTGTACAAGGAATGCAGCAAAATACTTGGTTTTGTCTCAATGAGGACTGGGCATCATCTAGTTGCAGGGGTGTCAAGAGTCTGGTCAAGCAGCACTTGCGGCTCTGTGTGGGGATAAAAAGGTGGTTGCGATGAACAGTGCTGCTGCTCAATTGTCTTTGGTAGAACTATCTCAGTCCAAACACATTTTTCGTCCTAGTTTGATCTGAACGCCCGATGAGTTGTTAAGAAAGCGTGCATTGGATCGAGCCTTTTGATCAGTGTTTGCAGCTCATGAACAGTCTAGACAGTTCTGGCACGTTGGCGGCTGATTGCACCTTGGCTTGTCGAGCAAACAACGAATTATCGGATACATCTTCATCACTTCCGGTCGTTATTTTTACTCCTTCTATGGTCTCTGAACCCGAAGCCATGGCACTACGCGAGCAAGAGATGGAGGCTTTGCAGGAGAGCGTGGCGACTCAGACGTGCGACACACCACCGCAGGATGTCGAAAAGCATACGTTAGATGTTGGACCAACGACAGAAGACACAAAGGCGGAACGTGGGGTCGGAAAGAAGACACCTCGTAAGGGCAGGCTGTTGCACAAGTCCAACCGTCAAGTGGACGACAGCTCCGCATCCGAGACTAGCGACAACGAGAGCTCAAGCGATTCTGACCAAAGTAGTGAAGATGAGAAACTCAAGGAGAAAAAAAGGCTGAAGAAGATTAGAGCGGCGATTGCACAAGCAGAAGTCAGAAAGAGGAAGAAGCAGAAGCAAAAGGAGAAGCTGAAGGAGAGAATGAGGAGCAAGAAACACAAGAGCAAAAAGCACGAATCAACCGACGAAGATGAGAGCTCGGTCGACTCTTCTGAATCCGAATCGGATTCGGATTCAGAGGACGCCGTGCCAGCCACCAAAAGCCAACGCAGAGCCTGACGAACCAAAGTCGAGCGTAAGAAGAGCAAGCGTGTGCAAAGATCGAGCGACTCCGACTCCGACTCGGAAGATCTATCAGCAGAGTATAGCAGTGACCTGGGCACTGAGGACCAGAGTGCCAAACGGAAAAAGGCAAGGGCAAAGGCAAAGCGGAGCAGTAGGAAGACAAAAAAGAAGCTTGACAAATATTCGTCGTCTTCGGAATCACTCTCTAGCGACGATGAGGCCGTTCCAGTGCCCGGCTCTCCGCCAGACGTTCATGTGGTAGAAGATGACCTCGAAGCGCAAGTGGCGACGATCAGTGGCCTTTTGCATCGCCTCAAGGCCAAGCAAGCCTGTGTAGACGCGGCGGCTGTGTCGATTCCCAAAGTGGAGAAAATAGTGGGCAAAAAGGGGCTAGAGTTCAAGCGGGTGGACCAGGTGTTTGACATGCAGATCCACGACTGGAAGCTTGTCGAAAGCAGCCGTGATCAGAAGGGTGAGTTTGACTGCGTATTCACGGTGCGGCGGCGTCTCGACTGGCAAGGCAAGTATATTGAAACTCGAGTGGATATCAAATCGAAGACTCTGCGGAACACGCTTCAAGAAGTGTTGAAGGACTGCAAAAGCATTAGTCTTGTCGAGGATACGCCCCAACTGGATCCCCGCACACTGTTCCACTATTACGATGAGATGAAGACGCATGTCAAGAAGACGCTGAAACGGCAGCTTGGAAAAGCCAAGAGGCCGAAAGAGCGCAAGCGTCTTAAGCAGCAGGTTGTGCAGTGCAAGTTGCTGCTCAGCTATGTGGACGAGGACTTTGGCGCTACTCGTAAAGCTCTGAAGCCCATGGTCAAAGCAGGCACTATTACGTACGATCTGGTATGGGCGCTCTTCAAGCCCAACACCATTGCCTTTACACCTACGTACAACAACAAGGACGATGCGCGGTGCTTTAGGGTGGGAACAGCATACGAGGCAGAAAACTGGTTGACGGGCGTCAAGTCGTGGCGTGTTGATGGCAAGTACCTCGAATATGACGGCAAATCGTTTGGTCTTGGGGAACACGAAGTATCGATCCCGGCGTTCAAGGGGCACAAGAAGATTACCAGTCTTGCTGTATATCCACTCAAGTACCACAAGGATGCCAAGGTATGTTCGATCGTCAGCTTGGGACTGGAATGAATGAATGAATGCTAACAAAGGCGCGTAGGGGATCAAGAAGCAGCTGATCGAGCGGGGCAAGAAGTTTGTCGCGCTCCAGGGCATGAACTACCGGGTCCAAAAGGGGATTGCGTATATGAAGCACAAGAATAGCATCGTGCGCTTCATTGTTAATGGTCGGGTCATGGTTGATCCTGCCATGTTCCGCCGCATGAACCCAAACTACCCGCTCTCATACCTCCGGCCAGATGAGCTAGCTGATAATGAGGATGAGGATGACGACGATGACGAAGAGTGCTGCTGCGACTCCAGTGGAGATGAGGATGACGAAGAAAAGGAAAAAATGCGCATCGTCATGTGGAAGGACAAGAGGGGTAGGAAACACCCTATCCGAGTGTCACAGAGCGTCGTGGACAAGGAAATGGGTACCGGTACTGAACAGCTGCTTGGCAGAGATGAGGATGCAACGGAAGAGCAACGTCAAGTCCTGACTGAAGAGGAACTCATCATCGCATCACCGGTCGTGCTGGGCTTTGCCTTTTCCGAGAAGCTCTGGCTCGAATTTTCTCTATCGGGAATTGAGGAGATCAAGTGGAATGAGGAAGCATTTTCCAGTCTGGTGCTGCCGAGCCAGATCAAGCAGAATCTCAAGGGCCTGGTATCTTCGCATCGGTTCCACGCAGCCAAGACAATTGACGATGTGATCCAGGGCAAGGGCAAGGGTCTCAACGTGGTGCTGCATGGCCCGCCTGGGGTGGGTAAGACACTGACTGGGGAATCAATTGCCGAGTATCTGCAGTGTCCGCTGTACGCAGTGTCTGCAGGGGAGCTGGGGACCAACAGCCGGGCGTTGGAAGCGGACCTGAACCGCATCATGGAGATTACGCATTCATGGGGCGCCATCCTGCTGCTGGACGAGGCGGACGTGTTTCTCGAGGCGCGGCAGCCAAACGACCTGCATCGTAACTCGCTGGTGTCGGTGTTCCTGCGGCTGACCGAGTACTACCAGGGCATCTTGTTCCTGACGACGAACCGGGTCGAGACTTTTGACGAGGCGTTCCAGTCGAGGATCCACATGGGGATTCGGTATGAAGAGCTGACTGCACGGGCCAGGAGGGAGATCTGGCAGCAGCACGTGGGCAGGGTGGAGAGGATGAAGGGGAGCCAGGGAATGAAGGCGTTCACAGAAGCCGACTTTGACATGCTAAGCCAGAGGGTGCTGAATGGGCGACAGGTAGGTGGAGTGAGGTGTGAGCTGGTGGAAGATGTGACAAGTGCTAATTGTTTTTTTTGTGCAGATCAAGAACACAGTCAAGACATCGCAGGCGATTGCGGTGGCTGAGCAGAGTGCGTTTAGCATGGAGCACGTCAAGCGGGTGTTGGAGGCTGGGGAGGCATTTGACGACGATATGCGAGGGGGAAAGGGGTACCGGGATGCGATGCGGCAGTACACGTGAGGTGGTGGTGGTGGTGATGATGATGGTGATGATGATGATGATGGTGATGATGATGATGGTGATGATGGTGATGGTGATGATGATGATGGTGATGATGATGACGACGGCGATGATGTCTGTGAGTATGTGGTCTGTACATAGTAATGGTAGTGAGTAGCAGCAGGAGTGGTAGTAGTGGTATGCAGTCGGATGCATGTTCTGGCCCGCCAAGCGAGTGGCTGGCCCCGAGTCTCCACCAACACACGAGGCGTGCCAGCCGTTGTGTCATGGCCGCTGGCATATCTGGGGGGGAGGCCAAGGGCGAAAACACACTCGTGGGAACAACAACACCCGCCAGCCCTATCTTATTCCCGTGCGCCTCGTCGCCCACTCAGACACGACTCCGACATCCACACCTGCGGCCACGCCGTCCGTGCCGTACAATGAAGCGCGACGACGACCACGACGGCGGCAGCAGCATCAGCATCAGCATCACTAACACCGACACCACCACCAACACCAACAGCGACGGCACATCGCAGCCATCCTCCACCAGCCCTGCGGCTTCGTCCGCCACCCACGGCCATGCGCCGGCCAAGAAAAAGCAGAAGCGCAATAAGCCCACGCTCAGCTGTGAAGAGTGCGTCGAGCGCAAGACAAAGGTGAGCGAGCAACCACCACGGCCGTCTCTTCGGCGCAATTCGCCCCCCTCCCCCACGAACGGTGCAAACACCACCTCCTCCACCAACTCCACATTTCCTCATTCCCGCTTCCATGCACTCCCTCCCTCACTCACCACTCACCACTCACCACTCACCCATTCGACGGCTGATGGTCTTCGCAGTGCGACCGCGCCAGACCCCATTGCTTGGCCTGCATCAAACGCCAGTCGCCCTGCCGCTACTCAGACATCGCCAACTTGATTGCTTCTTCTGCCGACAAGTATGTATGTGCCCGTCAACTTGCCCATCCTACGCCTGCTAAGCATCTGCGCAGAGTTGGCGCCGCGCAACATGCCACGCCTCGCTCCAGGAAGACGGCGGCCAAACATCCACTGCGACTTGGCAAGGACCCGCATCCCCATGCCAAGTCTATCCAGGTCCCCCCAACGCCCCTCCGGACCCAGTATCGCAGTGTGTCCTTGTCGTCAACAGGCTCGTCGCCTTTTTTGCTTTCAAACATCCCCTACTCTAACCACACGCCTGCCCCCTTCTTTGGCCTCGGCTCGGAGCATCCCTTTGCCAACTACTGGACCAGCCGTGGCGGCCTGGCAGAGGTAGTCGGCGTCTTGCCCGCAAAGGAGCAGGCCGACATCCTCGTCGACAAGTACTTTGATGCCGTCGACCCCGTCTATCCCATGGTCCACCGCAGGAACTTCTATGCCGACTACGAACGCTTCTGGTCCCTGCCCCTCGACGACAAGCATGCCGCCGATCCCGTCCTTGTCGCCCTCCACTTTGTCGTCTATGCCATGGGCACTCAGTTCATCCACACGACTGACAACCGCGAACGTGCTCAGATTGCAGAGTTCTACATTTCAGCAGCTCAGCAGGCCCTACGCATATCATCGTATCTCAGTCGCGCCTCAGTCAGGACGTTACAGGCCATGGTCCTGATAGGCTACTTCCTGATGAACGACAACCATGCTTCAGATGCATGGGCTTTTGGCGGTGTCCTGGTACGACAAGCCTATGCCATGGGCCTCCACCGTGACCCGGACATCATTGCCCCTCGTTGCTCTCGAAGCGACAAGCAACAGCGTCGCAAGCTATGGCAGGCCATATTCTTCCAAGACACCTTCCTCACCGTCCTCCTCAAACTCCCACCAACCACAGTCTTTTCAGATATACAGCCTCAGTCGTTGAGCGATGATCTGGACGACTATATCCCAAATGCCTCGTCAGCCAACGGTGCCACCGACGCCGTCATCAATCCCATGAGTATCAGCAACATTGCTTCCAACTTGGACCTCTATCCCCCCTATGAGCTCTCAGACAGACGCTACATCCGATCCATGTGGCATATGGCCATTCTAGTTTCGCGCACCGTCTGCATTCCACGCTCACTAGCAACCCCCCTGACCACGTCCGTTGCCCAAAAGACGGAGCTGGTCAATGAATACTTTGCCCTACACAGCACGTTTCCCATCGAGCTCACAGCATCCGACGATGCCACAATACGAGCCATGGCCGAACAAAACCCAAGAGGTCTGAGGCAAAATCTATTTTTCCGGAGCAACTTTTGGCACTGTGTCATGGCTATCCAAGCGGACGAGAACCCCGCAGAGGGTATATCGTGTGAGGTCAAGGGTGCCCTTGACGCTGCCAGAATGGCTTTGCAGTCCTTCTTCCACTTTTGGGAATACCTTAGAATCGACGCAAGTGTTTGGTGGGTTTTCCAGCACCGCGCTTTTGAGGAAGCGGTACGTATTGCACCCATTACCAACTTTCCGCTGCTCCACTTTGTTGCTGACTTTTGACGTTAAGCTTCTCATGGCTCGTATTCTGGGTCAGCAAGCCCAGCCGCTTTCGCCAACCCAATCAGGCTTGCCTCCTTCGTCAGATCCCCTGCTGAAAGATGCCAAGGCTGATGCGCGAAAATGTCTTGAAATATTAGACTTGGTCGGCATTGCCCCTGAAATGCAAAAGACGCGTACCGAAGTACTCCGAACGGCTTTTGCCGATATTCTCTGGTAATGGTTGATTTACTCTTTCTTGAATATTGGGTCATTTTGGGTTTGACAGCAACACGAACTACACATGTAACACTAGGCAAGCGTGGAGTTTATTTCTACTATATACGAATAATAATCTACCGAGGACAAGATACAAACTACATTCACACCGATTCTGGCTTGTTCTGGCTACTAGGGTACTTGGACACAAACATGTGGCCTGGCGCATATGCTCCCCCGCGTTTTCTCCCGAGGTTCCGAGTACTACTTACCACCAGTCTTCTTGGCAATCTATGTGGACCGGGGCTTTTCTCAGCCTTGTACCTGGACACTCGTTGCATGGGCATAGCGTGTCGAGCCAGAGTACTGGATTTTCGGTCTAGGCATGGAATGCTTGACAAGAATTTGCAGCAATCTCAATGCGTCAAATTGGGTCAACGACATGAAGTCAATCCGAATGCAGACAGTGGTTGATGAAGACGATCAGGCCATAGCTTTTTCTTCTATCAAGCATACCCACTTTCCGCTCTTTCCGACTCTTTTTTTCTATCTCCTTTCTCCATAATCATGCACCGACCAACTGCGCTTTAGTTGCGCTAACGAGCTCTCCTCTCCACACAACCTACGTACGCACCTGCTCAGCTCCAGACCAATATCCGCCACTCGGGCACTTGCGGCATTACGCGCACCCCAGACACTGGGCCACCTTGGATACATGAAAGTTCGAGACGAGATGCTCAATTCGTGTCTATACATCCACAGGTTCGAGTCAAACGCCGTCTCGTCCTGTCGAGACGACCCACATGGCGCCCACCCGCATGCCATACCTTTCTGCGGGTGATGGTGCCTTGACGTAGCACAACGACAATTATTCAACTGCTGACTCAGACCAGACGCGAACGCTGGCTTGACTAATGTCGCCAGTCTTGTCCCTGTACTAGCTACAATCTGCAATGAAGCGGACAAGTCCTATGCGTACTCGTAAATGTTACGGCAGTCGGGAGCCGATCAGGCAACAGTAAGCGAGCCTATCGCCTCAACTTTACCCATCCTCAGCCATTAACCACAAACATTGTCGCCGCGTCCTTGGATACGCTTGTCCCCCGGAAACAAAAGAAAGGGGAAGCACAAATACTTCTCATATCGTATCCTAGGCCAAGAGGAGGAATGAGACTGTGTGTAAGAGGCTTGCAGTGGCTCAAAAGGGGGGGGGAGGGGGGAGGTTTGAGAATGACAATGGTGGATGTTCGACCCACGGATTAAGATTATACAAGGCCTCCAACTAAAAACGTTCGTGTACATGGGCTTTTGGTGCTTTTCCAGACTCTTTGCTCTCGACAGTCGATTGGCTGGTGCCCCCAGGACTGCCTCGCCGATTCTGTTTCTGCCCCTGCTTCCGACTTCTATCCATTGAAACCTGCGCACCTTGCCCATCCAAAACGGTGGATGTAATGTATCCCGGTAGCCCTTGTTGCTGCTGCCATGCTTCTGACGGCATGCTCGAGCTAAGGAATCTTTCCTCGTCCGACTCTTTGCTTCCCCGCCGTGCCCGCGAAGTGGTAATGGTGATGGACTTTTGAATCGAAGGCTTGATCACGCTAAGTTGATGGCCGGACTGCTCTTGTCCTGATTTGAGTGAAGGCTTGCTCCACGGCATGGCTGAAGCTGATCGGGTAATTTCAAACGCCTGCTTCAATAGTGGTCGGAGCGTCGCAATTGATCCAGCTGATATGCCAAGGCCTACTTCGACAGTGCTCCAAATCGCAAAGTCAGTTGTCCGGAAGAGGAAGTCACCTTTGTATCCCTTGATTGTTGTTGTGTACGGCAAGCGAATGATGGTCGCTGTAGAACCACTGTTTTTGCATGTCAGGCGGCTATCGAAGGGAGGGGATGTGACCGAAATGCTACTTACATGGCCGCCAGGGCAATGACCGAGGCTACAACCACCTTCATGCGCTTCTTCATGTGCAGGCCCTGAACGATAAGTACGGGAAGAATGGCAAAGACCCAGTCGGCAAAGGCGTTGAGTCCAGAGACCACAAAAGTGAAGTTCATGACCAGTACCGGAGAGAGGCAGGAGCCGACGGCGTTCGGATTGAGATTCCACCAATATGAGATGGGCTTGCACTGGAAGATGACAACGGACGTGTATGCAATTCCCACGAGTCCAGACACGACCATGATGAGACGGATGATCCAGATGTGAAGCGGCACAATGGTGATGCGTAGCAAGAAGAAGCCGACGGAGATTTTGAGCATACATGTCGACAACGTGTAGAAGATTTCGCAGAAGAACCAAAAGTGAAGAGCCGTCTGAGCGCTCTCGTCGGTAAGGTGTATGCGGCGCACGCCAGATCCGTTGATGGCGCCACCAATCTGTGATATCAAGTATCCTGTGAAGAAGAGCAGCGTGACGACCATTGTATAGTCGTCAATTCCAAAGCCCTTGACCATGTGGATGCTACAGTCAAGAAAGTCAGTTACACGTCGGGTGGACTCAAGTGATTAGGCGATTTCTTACCGTACAAAGCACCGGAGACCGACAGTAAGCCATGACAGGATCAAGAAGGTAATGCCTATGGCCAAAATCTGTCCACTTCGATCCTTCATCTTGAGATGATGGGGTATGAGGGTATCAATTAGGAAGCAATGATATCTGGGGAAGGAAAAAGCAAACAGTCAAACAGAAACACCGACGAGTTGGGAGCACATTGTATGCAGTGGATATGTCCTCCTCTCCGGCGATCTTGCCTCACAAAGATCCCGACATCTGGGCCTAACCCGTGTCGCAGTCTGCTCTGGCCCTGGCAGCGGTAGTTGAGACAGGGCCAGCGATGAAGCCAAGATCTCCGTGGGGCAATCTTCTGCTTCCATACATAAGACCCTCCAACCGGAAGATCGGTAACGTGCAAAGTGGAGCATTTCAACAGGCTTTCTGTAGCCGGAACAAGTCAGCGAAGGGGGAAAAATCTCGGACCAAGCCAGTCAATGTAGTAGTTCATTTCATGAGGGGCTCCACTCGCTCGAAAAAGATGAAGTGGATAGGGCTAAACAGTAACATGCTCGTGCGCCCTTTTTTAGCCCTGGACGCGGCAAAGAACCCGACCAGTTGGCGACGGCCGGGTTTAGGGCGGACGCTGGGTCTGAAAAGAGAAGGCAAGGATTTGGCGTGAACCTTGGTGGTTGCCACTCCAGTCAAAGGGGCAGGCGATCTCAGCGGGAAGAAGATGGATGCTGTCTCTCTCCTATCTCGCGAAGGAACGAGAAGCCGGGACTGTGTCCAAATGCCGTGCCTTGGTCGGCTCCGTTGTTGCCGCTTCATGAGCCACTTCGCGGTCTGACAGTCGCAATGTCATCACGCCCATGCTCGACCTGTCGTCCAAAAGCGCAGCCTCTCCCGTGCCGAGCGTCTCTGTTCTTGGGCAGATTCGTCATTTCAACAGTGTGGGAGCGTGTGCGTGCTTGCGCTCTCATGCTCATGCTGACTAGCAGGTCCTCCTTCCGAGGTGGCGCAGGACACAGCCATTAGGAGAAAATGACCTCCCCCGCACCGTCCCGCGGGACGGCGTTCGGCGCCATGCAACCTTGACAGGCCGCTCGTTGGGTAAAGTAGTCTGCTAACTGGCGTCGAATGCGCATATTACATCTGCTGGCGCTGGTGGCCATGCGGCGCGGACTACACCCTCAAGTGGGCCTCGAGGGGGCAGCTGTTGAGCGTTTCTTGCGTCTACTGCACGGGAACCACGCTATCCATGTTCCGCTCCCCTCCACCAGCCCTACTGTCATTGAGCATGCCTTTGCCCTCCCCCCCTCCCCTCCTCTGCCCCAGCCAGAAGGCGGCACAGCAATTGGCGAAATCAGCCCGCAGCGCATGCAGGCACCTCCTTGCTGAGGCAACTAGAGGTTCAGTAGGGCTCTCCTTGTGCCGCACGTTTTGCTGCCAATACTTGCCATGGGTGCATGTGAACACGGAGGATACACTATGTCCTTAGTACATATACACCTGTACATGTATACAAACACCGGTAACTCAAATCATGGCAAACTTCCCAATCACGATTCGACTCTGTTCCCCGGCAAACATCCATGGCGCAATCTTTCTGGAATCCCAAGGTAGATCCCTCGTATCTACAGTTCGAACTTAGTTGTATACAACATATGTTCGTTCAGGGGCGTATTTACCAAACCTGTCTTGAGCCCCCACGCGCGAACGGGAACGGGAACGGAAACCCGACAAGACTACAAGTACTTAGCCCGGCTCTACTGCGGCGAGACCACATCCGTCGAGGTTTCACCATATCCAGCAGGTCCACATGTCTCGATTCCTCGACGCGGAGACATGCCCAGAAAAAGTACCAACGGTCGGACCCTAGCATGATATGACGCGTAGCTATTTTGTGCCGCCTCCCGCTCTGTTTCATGCCAACTGCCAGCGAAAAAAAAAAAGCTCACTCGTTGTGAGACTCGAGGCGATGCGAGCACCGGAAAGCTCTGCCCTCAACTTCGCCACAGCCTGGGTCGCTATCCAAGGGTCCACCAGTGCAAATTCTGGCCAAGGGGGTAGTCATGCTGACTGTCACTGCGCACAACCGTTGCGTCGATGGCAATCATATTACGCATCTTGCCGTGACTCGCCTAATTTCATCAAAGTTCCAGTCCCGACTCGTCCCGGGCTTGACTGCATCGCGATGCGATAGCTATACAATAGCTATTATTGACCCTTTATCGCAAATGGGAAGTTGTCAAGATATCTGTGCTGCACTCTCATGTCGCCGACTATGACAAGATGCATGAGCTGATCATTGTTTAATACAACAGATCGCCAACCGGACCCATACTACGGGACGCAACATGTCGCTTCATTGGTGGATTGTTCTCCCGCCTCTCCGCTGGAACATATCGCCATGAAATGGTCCCTCGTGGTGGATTATAGCATCGAATTCTGCCTTCACCGCCAATGCAACCTGACCTCAAATCCAGCCCTTGCCTCGGCATCCTAGGAACACCTGCGCAGAATGAGTGCACTTCACATTCCTCTTGCCTGAATTGGCAAACGCATTGCATGAAACATGCGGGGTGACGATGTAGGTTGAATTGCAGAAGCAAGTCTTGCATTACAGGCATTATATGCTGAGCTTCGGATCTTTGCCTCGGTTTGGGTCGAATTGGTCACCTGGAAAGGGACGCCTGAATATTCCATGCTGTCGGGTGTGATATGGATTATGAATATATGCAACCTTTGCTCCTGCATTCAGAATGAACCTGTCATGCGAACCAGTACTGAACGAGGGTCTGCAGGAGTGATGGCATGTCGCATGAACCGCTACTAACCGTCCTTCTACATGTGTAGCGTAGGTGAGTGCACATGAAGTTCAGGATCCTGTTCCGGTTGGCGATCATATTCCCAGCGCATAGACTGGACTGTTTGCCAACACTGCTAATCTGGTTGAACTCTGTTATGTTAAATAAATCGCCCAAACTTCCAGGTCGAATAGAAATTCTGAATGCTCGAGGAGAGAATAGGTGAAGTTGAAAGAAATCGAGGGGCACTACATTTATAACTACTTCCAAGAGAATACATAAGAGCAGGTCTCGGTGCGCCACAAATGCATTTTTAATGATCCTTCGAGCAGCGCAACGGCAAAATGTACGAATGGCTTATCCCATCTCAGAACAAGCGCAATCAAAGCCCGAGAAAATATCCGGCCTGGATGCACCAGTGCGGGGCCCCGCAATCAAAATTCATCTATTCAGACACTGCTAAGGCTATGAAATAGGAGAATAGGCTTTCCATACAAAGCTCATCTCTTGGCCGCCTTTCTAGTTTTCAACATGTCTACAGCGGTCTGAAACGGCGCACGGTGTGAAGATGACGCTCGTAAACTCGCTCGGCCAATAAACATCACGCCTGGTTGCACCGAGAAACCTCACCATCAAGGTTTCGGTGGTATCGCGGGTTCATATTCACATTTAACCACGAAATGCCGGGAAGCGTCTCCGCTGGACAAGACCGTGCTCTCACGAGGCGGTATAAGTATGGTGTTGATTCAATCGAAACAATTCCCCAATCGCTTCTTTTCTCGAGCCAGCGCAGTCACTCCTTCTTGAAACGCCTCAACATGTCATTTTCTTCAGTCGTTGCAGCAACCCTGTTGGGCTTGGCCACTGCCCAGATATCGGGGACTATCCCAGAAGTACACCCAAAGTTGACGACGTGGAAATGCACAAAGGCTGGTGGATGCAAGGCGCTAGACACATCCATTGTTGTCGACTCACTACGCCATAACATCCATCTCAAAAACGACACGAGTGTGAGCTGCGGTGGTGAATACACTGACCTCAATACGGCGCTTTGCCCAGACAAGAAGACTTGCGCCCAGAAATGCGTAATTGATGGCATCGAGGATTACTCTACACAAGCAATTTTCACGGACAACGACAAGCTTCGCCTAGACATGTTTAATCCCAAGGGCGAATATATGAGCCCTAGGGTGTATTTGCTGGCCGAGGATCAGCAAAACTACGAGATGCTACAATTGACGGGCAATGAGCTATCCTTTGATGTCGACATGTCGAAGCTACCCTGTGGCATGAACAGTGCTCTGTACCTCAGCGAGATGGAGGCTGATGGAGGCCGGTCCGAATACAATACCGCAGGTGCGCCCAAGGGCACCGGGTACTGCGACGCCCAGTGTTTTGTCAAACCATTTTTGAACGGCGAGGTAAGTTCACTTGGTTACTGGCGTTGAATAAATAACTGACTGTACACAGGCCAACGATAATGGCGAGGGCGCTTGCTGCAACGAAATGGATATCTGGGAGGCCAACAGCTATGCCAACCAGATTGCTCCCCATACCTGCGCCAAGCCAGGTATCTTTGCATGCACGGGCAATGACTGCGGCAGTGCTGGACTCTGCGACAAGGCCGGATGCGGTGACAACCCATACAAGCACCGCAACGACAAGGAATACTACGGACCGGGTCTCAAAGTCGATACCAACCGGCCATTCACCGTTGTCACCCAATTCCCCGCCAAGGACGGCGTGCTCCAGGCCATTGTCCGCAAGTATGTCCAAGACGGCGTGGTCATTGAAAATGCCATGCGCAACCTCACCGCCGAAGAAGCAGTCATGGACCAGGCGTGGTGCGATAAGCAGGGGAAAACCTCCGCCTACAACAGGCTTGGCGGCCACAAGACCATGGGTGAGGCTCTGGAACGCGGTATGGTTCTCGCACTGAGCATCTGGTGGGATAAGAGCGGTGGTATGCAGTGGCTTGACAGCGGAGACAGCGGTCCTTGCAATGCCACCGAGGGCTTCCCAGATGTTATCCAGTCCAAGGTCAAGAATCCAACTGTCACCTTTAGCCAGGTCAAGTGGGGTGAGATTGACTCTACGTATGGAGCTTCAAACGCGACGAGCAGGTACTGGAAGGCTTAGAGCGTGGTGGCTGTGTATAAATTAGACGATTCCAGATATGTGTATATGTACATTTTCAAATATAGATGCGCAGGCATACTACCTTGAGTCACGCAGATGGCTTTGCAATGAGTGTCATCTCCGCATGTGAAACGCAGCAACCGTCGGGAAAAACCATGTCAGCAGTCCATACTCCTTATGAGTCCTCACCTCATAATAATAAAATCGTCAAACTTTCATTCCCAAAAAAAAACCGGTCACCCTCAGCGGCTGACCGACCACACACGTCGCAAGAGTAGACGCGAGTAATACGAAATGCAGCTTACAAAGCTCACCCACCTTACAAAGCCTACACCCACTTTGCCGTCCGAATGCGGAAACCACTAGTCCGCATTTCCACCACCGGTGACGCTGTTTTGACTCAAACACCACACAAGGTGCAAACTTAACCTTTTGCAGCAAAAACAAGCGTTACGCCCTTTGCTTCTACACGTGTAGAACCGCCACTAGATGACTCAACCGTGTTGTCGTGCGCGGACATTGGGGGAGAATGCCTGGGGGGGTCACATGAGTCGGATGGGTACGAAGGCGCAGTGCGGTATGGTGCGATGCTGTTGAATTGGTCATTGAGGGTTGTATTGCTAAGCTGGGGCATGGGAATGGAGAAGGGTATAAAGATTGGGGCATAGAATTTCGGTAGTTGAGGCATCAGATCAATTGGAACATCATCACTTCATACATTAGCATTATCAAAGCTACGATACGCCGCCTACTCCATTGTCAATTCCGAAAGGACATATACCACACGATTCAACCGACAATTTATAAATACCAAAACACGGAATTCATCATACTCAACATGTCGTCTACACGCTCCGCATCCACATCTGCACCAGAGAAAGATACAATGTCGATAACTTCATCGTCGACGATGAAAAGTACGAAGTCGCTTCTGAAGTCGCTGCTCCCGTCGAAGCGGGATAGCAAGGCGACAAAGACGGAGGCTGCAACGTCGAAAGTTACAGAGACACCGGCGGAAAAGGCGGAAAGGAAGTTGACAAAGGCGGAGGCGCTGCATGATTGGGCGTTGCATCGGTAGAAGGAAAGGAGTCCAGGGGGATCATAAGAGAGAGATGACGTGAGAAAGCAAGTCGCAGTTACTGGGTTACTTCTGGTGCGGATATCCTGGGATCTAAAAGGCCCCAATCGTTTTCGTTCTTTGTTTATACCTTGGGCATAACGTGTCATGCCTCTTTTCTATTTGCTGCTGCGCAGTGTGGGTTTGGTCTAAGCGCAGCCCCGGCAGATAGAGATGGTTGATTAGGGATGGTAGTGTACCATATCTTGCTATCAGGAAGGAATTGGATTAAGTGCTTAACTTTTGAAATCTTACCAGTCGTTTGATCCAGAGTCAATTGAAAGCTTGTAAGCATCTCACACATACGAATTTTATGCAAAGGCGATAGAGAATAAAGCAAATGCGCACAAAGCTGTGACGACACGGTCACTGTGCGCTTCATTTAGTTACTTTTATCTATCGTGTGTGAATCATAACATCATCTAAGCAGGGTATCATCATCCTGCCAGTGGGCAGCTCTATACCTCCTTCTTGGGGACACCGCCTGGCAACGTCTGTACCTTTTCCTGGAAAAGTTTTTCAGCACCTTGCCACACAGGGGTTGTGGCGCGGTCCTTGAGTGCCATTAAGCTAGGCAGTAGGGCATTGCTGAAGGCTTCTGACGACTCGCGGGGAAGTGCGGATGGCAGATGGTCAATGGAGATGACGGATAGTCTAGGACCGTTGCCTTCGACGGGCACCTCGACCGTGGGCTTGTCAAAGGTTGTGTTGATATCGTAGATGGGGATAGGGTTGTGGGGGTTGGTGGTGTCGCAAGAGACATCGCATACGACGCTCAGCTTGCGGTTTGGTGACTTAAGGCTCTCCTTGCTGACAAAGGGAGGAATGGGCTTGGAGAGGTATATGCAGTTGACAAAGATGTCTGACTCGACGATCTCGGGGTAGGGGCCGTCACGCTCCTTGGTCTCGGCCAGATCCCACTTCTTGACTTCTGAGCAACCAATCTTCTCGAGAAGGTCGACGGCACCCGAGCCGCAGCGACCCAGGGCACCGAGAACCAGGCTGCTGGGCTTACGGCCCGCGACCTTCTCACCGGCGGCGACGTCTTCTTTGAGCTGAGCGATCAGCTCATCCTCGTTGTTGTAGTAACCACGGCCGTCGGTGAATGCATCGAGGCCAGGGAGGGGCTCGCCATTGGGGTGGGTGAGCTGCCAGGCCCACGTCTTGATAGCAAGGGCGGCGCCAACAAAGCCAGCATGGTATCCAAAGGCAGCTACACGCCTGCCCGACTCGTCCTGCAGGAACTCAAGGTCGTAAAGAGTACCGCCACCGCGGGGGAAGCGAGCGAGGACGTTCTCCCATCCGCCTTGTTGCTTGTAGCAGTGTGCAAAGTGGACGAATGTATGCTCAAGAGGGAATGAATCCTCAGGTAGTTCCTTGAGACCAAGGATGATGTGGTCCTTGGGCGCTGTCTTGTAGGCGCCCTCTTCAATGAGTGTTGCGCCGGCCTGCTCAAACTCTTCGTCGGCGAAGATGCGGGCGTAGTTGGGGTCCTTGGGTGAACGCTCGACGAGGACAGGGTAGCCGGCATCGAGCAGCTTCTTGGCTGTGGTGGGCGTGAGACATGAGCGGTGCTCGAGTGGCTTGGCCTCTGCGCGGGCGTGGAGGGTAGGGAATGCCATTTTGGAGGGTGATGACTGTTATTGTTGTAGTAGTGGTGTTCAATTGCAAGTCGGCCGTCTTATAAAAGACAATGCGACGGACTTCGGAGTGTGGAGCAAGGAGGGCCGGACTAAAGCAGCCCACTATGACTCCATGCTCTGTTTTGCCCGGCGCCCAAATTTCGAGCTCCGAGAACGGGGGGGAAGACAAGGCCGGGTATGGGGGTGAACAGGCCAACGGGAAAAGGCGTCCCACCCGCGCCGGAAAAACCATTGCCCTTGATACTCCAACAGCTCCACGTCCATGCTCTTGCTCGTGCGGCACTTGAGACGGAAGCGCGAATTATGATTACTGCTTGGAACAGTCGCCCGCTTCGAGACGACGGACTTTAACAGAAGAGGAGGAACACCGAGAAGAAGAGAACGAGGACGGCTACGTCATCAGCAGCAACGACAATACCACCACCATCAACACCAAAGCCATCGAGAATGCCACCCAAACCAGCCACCCCAGATGACAGCAGTCGCCAGCCTGCCACAGCCTCACATTCGCGAGACTCTTCGAATGCAAGCGCCCGCCATGCTCATGCGCCTGCCACGCCCAGCCAGCTCCGACAGGCCCATGTGCCCTCGGACCCGTCCACTTCGCCAGACGAGGCCATGCACCGCCGACACTACTACGACGATGATGAAGAGCCTCTTGCCGAGGCCAGTGACACTTTGCCTCATCTCGACTTTGGCGTTGGCGGCATACAACCCACAGCAGATGCCCTGTCTGCGCACTCGATCCACGAGAATGTTGGCCCGTCGGGCGGTATCATAGAAATCGACCTCGAACCCACTGTGCGCACTCGCCTGCTGAACCACCAACAACACGACGCCGGCGCTGGAAGGCCAGCGACACATCGCAGCTATGGTAGCTTTGCGGGTAGCGTTCACTCGGAGCAGAGCTTCGGTGGCGCCTTTCCTGGCATACGCGAGACGCTCGAGAGCGACGCACCAGACGCCGCACATGCGCTGCTGGGCGACGCTATTGCCGACAGCGTCACCAACAAGGCCAGCGGCGGACAGATGAGCACCACGCGATGGCTTGCCGAACGCCATGGCATCAAGAACAAGCGCATGATGTACCTCAGGTACTACATACCCATTCTCAACTGGACGCAGCAGTACAAATGGCGCTACTTGAAGGGCGATCTTGTCGCGGCTATCACCATGGCCTCCTTCTACATTCCCATGGCTCTTTCGTATGCCTCGAATCTCGCTCATCTGCCCCCCGTACACGGTCTCTACAGCTTCGCCTTCAACCCGCTCATCTACGCCATACTGGGCACCTGTCCACAGATGGTCGTAGGTCCAGAAGCACCGGGCTCGCTCCTCGTCGGCGAAATTGTGCGTGAGAACATCAAAAAGGGCACTACAGACGACAACGACGGCAGGCGCAATGCTGAGATTGCTGGTATTGTCACGTGCATGGCCGGCGCATTCATTCTTATTGGCGGCTTCTTCAGGCTTGGCTTTTTGGATAATGTCCTGAGCAGACCCTTCTTGCGTGGCTTCATCAGCGCTATTGGTGTGGTCATCTTCATCGACCAACTCATCCCTCAGATGGGATTGGCAAGGCTTGCTGCTGACCAAGTATCTCACGGAAGCTGCTTGGACAAATTTCTATTTCTCGTCCGCAATGTTGGCAATGCTCATGGTCTTACATGTGCCGTATCTTTTACTGCGTTTGCTATTATTATGTTCTTCAGGTATGTTGTTCGACACCAGACGTCTGGTAATTCCTCCTGTCTGATTCTCCTTGCTCACAATGTTGCAGAGAGTTCAAGAAGCGACTGCAGCCACGTTACCCCAATGTCGCATATATCCCGGACCGCTTTGCAGTCGTTGTGCTTGCTACCATTGTCACCTGGAGATATCGACTTGATGAGCAAGGGCTTGCGGTCCTTGGCGAAGTAAACTCGAGTGCGAAGCTCTTCTCAGTCCACTTTCCCTTTGACACATCGCATCTGAAGTATGTATCGGACGCCATCAACACGGCCCTTATCATTGCTATGCTGGGTTTCTTTGAGTCATCTGTCGCAGCGAAATCCCTAGGCAGCGGCGAGCAGAACAAAGAAGGGGTGCAGATGCCACTCAGTGCAAACCGGGAGCTCATCGCACTGGGTACTGCCAACATCACTGGTGGCCTCTTCATGGCTCTTCCGGCTTTTGGTGGTTATGGCCGGTCCAAAGTCAATGCGTCGACTGGTGGTTTGACACCCATGAGTTCTGTTTTGCTGTCCATCATTACCATTCTGTGCACTGTATTCATGCTGCCTTACTTTTACTACTTGCCAAAGGGCGTGCTTTGCGCCATGGTTTCGGTTGTTGCATACTCACTTGTTGAGGAAGCACCGCACGACATCAAGTTCTTCTTGAAGATTCAAGGCTGGTCTGAACTGATTCTCATGGGCCTCATCTTCTTCATCACCATCATCTGGGATCTGAAGCGCGGTATCGGCGTTGGCATTGGCCTGTCCATCCTGCGCCTCATCCGCCATTCGGTGCGCCCACGGATTCAGATCCTCGGCCGCGTGCCTGGGACGACCAACCAGTTCTCCAACGCAGAGCATGCTCCGGGAGACGTTGAATTCATTGAGGGATGTCTAATTGTCAAGATTCCAGAACCCCTGACTTTTGCCAATACAGGCAACCTCAAGACGCGTCTTCGGCGCCTAGAAGACCACGGCACTGCTAGAGCGCACCCAGCCTTGCCGCGGGTTCGAGATGCGGAAAACAACAAGAACATTATTTTCGATGTACATGGCGTTACGTCGCTTGACGGAGCTGGCGCTCAGGTGCTTGCTGAGATTGTAGAGTCATATAGAAACCGCGGAGTTCGAGTGTTTTTCTGCAGAGTGCCCAGAGAGTCGAGTGCGGTTTACAAGCTCTTTGGCAAGAGCGGCATTATCGAAATGTGTGGCGGGAAAAGACACTTTGTACACAGCGTCGAGGAGGCACTTCGTATGACGGAGACGGAGCGTTTAACGGAGGAATGGGGAAGTTCCGCGGAGAGCTCCCGCGCGGTTTCCAGCCGGGCGTGACGACGAGTTTGCCACTAAGCATTGGGATCGTACGACATGAGCAAAGGCGTTTCTAGCATGGCATTGGATGACACGGCGTTTTGAGCTTACGAGCATAAAGTAGACGAGTGCGTATATGCATACATAGTACCCCATGAAAAAGGGCGTTGGGAATCAAGAAAAATTTTGCGCTTACCAGCAGGAAGGTCTGACATGCGTCTCTGCTCCGACACTGCGGAAATACTAAGTTTGGCGCCATTGTAGTAAGAGGAGAATGCGGGTCTTTTCGCACGCGGAGCTTGATCTGGCGCCTTTGGTCGACGAAGCAAGCGACAAGCTTTGCGACTGAGCTTGGCGGCGAGTGTTGGGCCCCGGTTTTTTCTCGAGGGAGCCAGGCTAAGCAAGTCTTGATAAGGCTTAGCATGTCTTAACAAGTCATGCCACGGCCACATGGCGCCTAGCGCTGTATTGAGCCTCGCAGCTCATCGGCCCTAACGGCCTCTCCGCAAACATTCACTGGACGGGAGCGGGCAATGCGGGGTTGCGGGCACGTCATGTGTCAGTGGACCGCGCACGCATGGCCTGCGCACTGCTTACCAGTCGGGCATCGCATCGGGGCAGCGAGGAATGCTCGCAACGACGTCAGGCCATGTATAAAGCGTTGCCTGACGGGCCCCCCCTGTGTGGCCTCATGAGCACACTGGTCGGCCAGTCCGTCTGATCTCATTTCCCAAGCACCTTGACTGCCATGGCAGACACCAAGTACGAAGACGCTGAGCAGCGCGAGTACGTGGAGCCCGCTCCTCCCATGACGGCTGCCCGTTATGTGGTAACGCGTATTCCAACCCTCAAGCCCGCGCACGACAAGGTCGCAAATCCCATCGCCCTTCTCCGCATGCTCAACCTGCAGCAATGGCTCTTCTTTCTTGTTGCCTTCTTTGCTTGGACTTGGGATGCCTTTGACTTCTTCACCGTTTCCCTTACCATTGAAAACCTCGCCGAGACGTTTGGCAAGACCAAAGCCGACATCACGTGGGGCATTACGCTAGTCCTCATGCTGAGAAGCGTGGGCAGTATCATCTTTGGCTTGGCTGCTGATCGCTATGGACGGAAGTGGCCGTTTATTATCAACAACATCTTGTTCATTGTCCTCGAACTCGGCACCGGCTTCTGTTCGACATACAAGGAGTTCCTGGGCGTACGCGCCTTGTTTGGCATTGCCATGGGTGGGCTGTATGGTAACGCTGCTGCAACTGGTACGTTAGGCTGTTCTTTCTCTCCCTAGTCCGTACATACATGTACCCAATCAGGAATCTAACATCTGGAAACAGCTCTCGAAGACTGTCCCGAACAAGCCCGTGGAATCATGTCGGGTATCCTGCAACAAGGCTATGCGTTCGGTTATCTACTTGCCACGGTCTTTGCACGTGCCTTTGTTGATACCGTCGGTCATGGATGGCGCCCGTTGTTCTGGTTCGGTGCAGGGCCTCCGGTTCTTATCATCATCTTCCGTCTCTGCCTTCCAGAGACGAACGCCTATCGCGAACGCCAGCGTATCCGTGAAGAACAGCCCAGTGCAGCCAAGGCATTTGTCGAGGAGGGCAAGGTGGCCCTGAAGAGACACTGGCTGCTGCTTGTCTATCTTGTGCTCCTTATGGCCGGCTTCAACTTCATGTCTCATGGCAGCCAGGATCTTTACCCGACCATGTTGAAGAACCAATACAACTTCTCGGCAAACCAGGTGACGGTTACCCAAGTCGTAGCCAACCTAGGCGCTATGACTGGGGGCACGGTTGTTGGATACTGTTCGTCCATTTTCGGCCGTCGCATCAGTATCATTGTCATGTGCTTCCTAGGAGGGGCGTTACTCTATCCCTATACGTTTACCTCGAGTGATGCCGTCATAGCCGCAGCCTTTTTCCAGCAATTCTGCGTCCAAGGCGCGTGGGGGGTCATTCCAATCCATCTCATGGAACTCTCGCCGGGCTCATTCCGCACGTTTGTCGTGGGAACTAGTTACCAGCTTGGCAATCTCGCTTCGTCTGCTTCATCTACCATCGAGGCCACGATTGGCGAGCAGTTCCCTCTGCCACCAAAGGGCAAAGTCTCGCGGTACAAGTACGGCCTGGTCATCTGTATCTTCATGGGGTGTGTGTATGCATATGTTATCTTGCTGACCGCAGTTGGGCCAGAGTATAGGGGCCGGGACTTTGACGCTGCAGCGGATGAGGATTTGGCGATTGCCACCGGTGCAGATGTGGGCAAGTACGAAACCAAAAAGCAGGTGGAAGATGTGGAATCAAGGCCGCGTGCGTGAAACATGTTTAACCGGAAGATGGGAAATGTTTGGGCGCGAGGCTGGATTTGTCAGTGGGGCCAGGAGGTTCCTCGGGGTCGGGCCAGCAGCCAAGCCGCGACGTCTTCGTTTGTATCTTCACCATGCTCGAAAAGTAACGGGCACACTTGGCGCTGCCCTTTCGGCAAGCGACCAAGGCCGAAACCCTTTAGCCACGGACTTGATTAATGAATCCATGACACTTCCAAGACGTGCTATTCCATTGGTGTCGATAGACGATTCCACTCTAGGACCCACCACATCGGGGTTCAAGTGGAGAGACTTTAATATTGTGCTGGCTGTGTGATCGCACGTCCTGTCGTGGTATATTATGGCGCCTATAGGCCTGACGTAGGTAATCTAAATTATTCTTGCTTCTTATTGGCCTGATTGGCTACGCTCTTCATGCGGAATCAACATCCGTCTCTAGTGCCGTATCACCTGTAGAGTCTCGCCAACCCAAACAGATTGTCTTCATATCCAGCAATCTATGCCACGCATCACGCCGCCTTGGATGGCGGTGCTCGCCATTCCACTGCCCTCAATCTTCGGCTCCTTGTCGCGGCTTTAGTTCTAAGCGATGCTATTGCCGAAGGCTGTGTTACATTTAGGCAGCGTTCCTATGCGATGGTGTCGGGTATAAGTATAGGGAGCCTGGTAGACAGTGAAACAGAACCACAACTCTTCATCTGTCTCTCTTTATCTGCAGCATAAACAGAGACTTTTTTTTCCTTACAAAGATGAAGGTTTCCGCTGTTATCCTCGCTGTCGCCTCTCTGGCCAGCGCTCACTGTATGCCTATTTAGCATTTCCATTTTCGAACCTAACCCCAACTGATTTCTTCTGCAAGACACTCTCCCCAGCATCAACGGCGGCGTACCGTGGGCTCACGTCCGCCAAGCCAAGAACTGGCAGGACAATGGCTTCGTCGGCGATGTCACCAGCAACGACATCCGCTGCAACCAGCTGAAGCCTGGCACTGCCACCATGACCGTCGCCGCTGGTTCCAGCGTCAAAGTCAGCGTCAACCCCAACGCCTACCACCCAGGCCCATTCCAGTCCTACCTCGCCAAGGTACCCGCAGGTGCAGACATCAACACCTGGGACCCCACTGGCGCAGTCTGGTTCCGCATCTACGCCGAGCAACCCAAGTTTGGCAGCCAGCTGACCTGGTTGGGTAAGTCATCTCCTACACCATCTTCCCTTGGCCACCACTGAACCCACACTAACAATCTTCTTCACTACAGCCGCCGCCAACTACGACATCAAGATCCCCCAGTGCATTGCCCCCGGCAAGTACCTCATGCGCAACGAGCACATTGCCATCCACACCGCCGGCCAAAGGGGCGGCGCACAATTCTACCTCTCCTGCGCTCAGATCGAGGTCACCGGTGGCGGCAGCACGTCGCCCAGGAACCTTGTCGCCTTCCCAGGCGCATACAGCGCTACTGACCCCGGTATCTTGATCAACATCAACTACCCCATTCCTACCAGCTACGTGAACCCTGGCCCTCCTACCTTCACTTGCTAGAGTGATTTGGATATGTAGGAGGCGTAAGGTAGTAACAGCGGGGTCCTGTATATAGATATTTTTTCTCCATCCCTCCTGTTGCTGGGGAAGATCCGAATGGGGTTGGGAGGGTTCGAAAGCCTTTTTCTTTTCTTGCCTTCCTACCAGATTATGATATGATGTTTTTATAGAAAATGTAAATATGTTCTATGAATGAACACCTTCTTGACTTGAGGTACCATATCTGTCAGAACTGATTAGGTTGTTGAGGTGATGTGCGTGCCGCTATTGTAAGGAATCATCTCCTTGCGTAGCTTCCGTATCGTTGGCCAGAGCGAAAGGAGCCCGATATTACGCGTAGCCTTTCACAAACACACGATGACGCCTTGACATTACAAAAATCAGTTCAGATGGCTCGATATGATAAATCAGCTGTTGATATCGATCTCAAAGCCATAACTCCCTTGTGCGAAGATTCAGTGGCAGGCACCTCACTCAGTAACAGCTCCCGAATGAATTATACCTCTGGCAACCCAATTTGATTACTACATCGATATTCTCAAAAAGAAAATAACAGTATCAGTTATAGAATCACTACTACTAAAGACGACCTGATTTGCATTAGACCAAGGCATTGGAAAAAATTACAACAACATGGTCATAGGTGTCGGTACAAAGAAAACTTTTGGAGGATACAGCCACACGTCACACAGGGTTTGAAGTGCTTATTCTGTATTTCTGGCGACTGAAGACATTGAATGCCTATAGGTATTGGCCAGAATACTAAAATGTAGGCGATTTGATCCACCAGTTGGGTGGTATCGAGGACGAAAAGTGGGTGACCGTCCATATCGCCAGCGAGGAAGTAGTTGAGCCAATAAAAAAAAGGCCAGCGTTGGCTATTATTTTCTGTATGCGAATGACTTGGGTAGTGGTTCACTGTGTTTTGCTGTCTAGTGTTGAATGAATTAGCATGAACACATCGTGTAAACGAAAACTTACTCTACTGACAGCTTCATTTTTTTTAATCACACCAAAGTAGAGCAGCAAAGAAGCCGTTGGAGTGTATGTGTGTCTATGTGTGTGAAGCAAGAAGACGCGCTAGTAGGACAGAGGAAATTATTGTACATTATGGGAGGTGTTGAAACTGGATTATAAAACTTGATGGAAAAAAAAGGAAAGTGGATGATTTTCATATCTCGCACATGTGAACTGATTTATCCCAGCAGACATCTCGCCACAAAAGAAATATATAGAGTGCTTATACGCAATCCAGGCTTGGTTATAGTAAGCAGCAGGAATTGAAATAACTTTCGAGCGTTTTGAATGACGAAGGCATCACAATCACGCCCTGTTTACTACGGATAACAGAACGACTGCTTACTCTGGTTTTAGCTTGGTTCTGATTACCCAATAAGTGTGGATTGAAAAAGAAAACCGATGCAAAGGGTACCGAGAATTTGATTTAACAACTAATCTTTGACCCTAATGTCAGAATGCAAACTAACTTGAGCAACGGGCTATAGGAAAAAAACAAAACTCCCCGTACGATTTCTGAATATGTAACAAGGAAATTACCATATGGTGCAGCAGAGGAAACAGGTTCCGAACTTTGATAATATTGAAGTCCTCATGGCTGATATTTGTGTGCCGTGGGTGTCTTTGAAAACAGATAACTTGCCGTACTACTACCCTGTAACACAAAGGCTCACTTAGGCCTCTTCTGGAATATTTGCCAAGTTTTTACGGGTATTGTTCCAAGGGAAAATTGGAATACCAGCTCTTGAGTATACTTCTCTAGGTAGAACTTCGTCGACGAGTACAGTGGAGACAGATTCAGTCATGGCGATATACTCACTGCATTGGCAAACTTACTGAATATGGATGTCGAAATTGGCAAATTATTTGACGGCTAGACCGGGCAATTTAGCTACGCTACAGTTAAACTAAGTTGCTGATGTTAGCACTACGTAATCTCTCATCCGAAACCAAAAGCTCGTGCGGGAACCATTCTGCTAGTTTTCCACCGGGTCTACCCGGATCTTCAGGCAAGTCGTCCTCTTCGGTTCCAGCAATCATTATACCGAGAGCAGCTCCAGAAAGCCAGGCCCACACCATTCCTTCTCCACAAAACCCTGCTGCGATCCACTCTCCACATTGGTGATCGCCATCTGACATTCCCTTTCGCTTCTTAATGTCGCGTCCCGTCAACTTCGCGTTCAATGGACCCACGAAGGGGAGAGAATCACCGGTTATACCGATGATCCCAGGCCACACCTGCTTCAGCTCGCTTCCCGCACCCCACTTTGGATGGAATATTGCTGGGAATATGCCTGCAATGTGCGTGATTGTCAGAGGATCCAACACGGAACCGTCGTCGTAGAGGCCGACTTGATCGATACCTTGCTTCAAAGATCGCTTGAAGCCGCCCCCAATCATCAAATCCCCTTTGGTGTCGCCTGAAGCTGGCGGTATTTGCGTAATGTAGTCAAACGCATCATCGTATATTACACCCCAGGATTTTGTACCGTCAGCATGTGGGAATCGTTGCCCTGGGGTCTGGGCGGACATGTGAGCTCTTGCTCCTACAATCCTACTCCGCAATCCAGGAACAAGGTGGCTTGCGAATGCATTGGTGGTGTGAACTACTTTCCGGGCAAAAATAGTTCCTCGGGGAGTTTTCAAAGCATAGGGGAAGCCTGCTGGGGCATCTTCTGGAACGCTTATCGATTCTACGGGAGTATTCGTCTCCACAGATAGATGAGGAAACTCGCTCAGTAGGTTATTCCAGATGGACGTAACGAACCGGTAAGGCCAGATGGCACCTGCTTTATAGGATAAAGCACCCATGACACTTTCGTTGACACCACACATCGACTGATGTCAGTTTTTAGTTTTCTTTTTGTTCAATTGGTAATTGTACAAACCTTCTGAGCTTCATCCCCGTTCCATACGGCAATCTCAATCTCGGGGAGCCATTGCTTCAATGCATCAGAATCAGCGACGGCCTTGGAGAAGCTTTTGCTGTCCAGAAAGAAGTCGGTCGTTTCGACCTTTCGAGCTTGAGCAGCCTCGATACCTTCGCTTTCACATAGTCCAGTCAAATAACCAACATGCAGAGATTGAAAGCGCACCAAGGCGGCAGCACGATCTTTGGAGAATGGTTTGCTCAGCAGAGAAAATGATTCGTATGGGGAAGGTTTGATATGTCCGCCATTCCGAGCGGTGGCACCGCTGCATAACTGTCGAGCCTCGAGAACAACGACCTTTTCGTCCGGACTGGTGTTACTACGGCGTCGCTCGTGGAGTAACGATCGTGCCACGGATGCTCCAGCGATTCCAGAGCCTATGATGGCCACATCTGCGGTTTGTGGTAAGGAAGGCGAGCTTGCATTGATAAGTTCAGGATATGGTGGATCATTGAGCCAGTAGGTTTGGGTTGGGTTGGGGTTAGGAAGGCCCGGAGATTGCGATGCACGCTTCAAAGCTCGGCTGAATTCGGTCGACAGAGCTTTCAGAAGAGAGGCTGTTGCAATACAGACTTTAACTAAATCCTGGAGAGTCGAGAGAACGACACCCATTGCGGTATGATCTGCTTTTGAAGCTGAGGTGCAAATGTGGTTGGTGCGTAGTATATGCAAAGAGAGACACCGTCAGTAGTAGTGTGCTGGTCTTGGCAATACCAACCCCCGCTCACATCGGTCCGTTCACCCTACGAACACATCGTCAGGATGAGGCCACATGGAGTACATAGCCAGGTATATTCTTGTAAATTGCTTGGAAACGATAGATCTATGTAGGTACCAGGAATGCCCAACGGTCATTTGCACTCTAGACAAGAGTTCATTGTCGAGTTTAGCACAACATTATGTCGTAATGGTACGTGTAATACTCTTCTGCACACTGGAAGGCTAATAAGACAAGCCGGAACATGTCATAAGGCTAAAGGGCTCTTCATCGTTTGTCGCCTTCGATTAAAGTTTCGAAACCTTGCATGTTCCTTACGTTATGAGTCTTTTTCCGGCCCGTTGGGTGGAGAGAGAAATGCTTGGTATGTAAGGGTATCGCTGAATAGTCACCTGCTGGCATCCAAAAGGCACCGACGGCTGCCGAAGATTCGAATCAACCTTTCCAGCCGCCGACGTCACTGAGGATGATGTTTGTCTCCGTGTTGTCATTGCGCGTCAAGACTGGCCGAAGTCCTCAGGTGTATGTAAGCTCTTCTTGGCAGCTCAGTTTATCTGTCTGGACCCGCCCATCAATACCCCTTGCGCTGGCGCACATTGGAAGCTCGCATAGCACATATATTATTGGATACTCTCCAATAATAAGATCTACCCCAGGATCCTGGACCTATATATGTAAGGCTAGCGTATATAGCAGCAGCGGTAGCCCCGGATGTGGCTGGACAGATATAAGTATATCATGACACCCATCCTGTTAAGAAAGCGCGGCAAAAGCTCGACTTTTTGTTTTGGAGGGATCTGGAGTAATTTCTGGAAATTTTGTTTAAAATTGACATACTATTTATAGAATCAGCAGATGTTACTGCGAAGGAGCAAGGAAGTAGCCCATCATAGTTTGTATATTTCTCTACACACACCGTAATCCTGATCAGGAACTGAATGGCAAACCTACCGTAAGACTGAAACTGCAAAAGGGCCGATGTAGCTTAGCTTTTCAACCTTAAACCAGCCGTCGGGAAGCTGACCAAAGCACCACGAATGAGATGTTTGTAACTAAATGAGGTAATAGAAAGTACAGACTCGGACGGGAGCCCAAACTCCATGCGAGCGGACACAAGAAACCTAAAGAGAGTGGATACCAATAATTACAAAGCAAAGTTTTTCCACTGAGAACGCCTGTAAACATGGCCTGAGGATTGCTAAGAGGTTGCTATGACTAGCGTAGCTCATACACACGTACTCCCCGTCAGCTTACATACTTACTTACTGACGATCACCATTCTCGTCAAGAGGTACCATCAAATCGGCGGGACACTGATGCTGTACAACCCCGCTTGTTTCTTCCGGACCAGTCCCGGGGCATCCGATCTCCGGAGTCTCTGTCACTAAGATTCGGTATCGTGATATCAGGATCTAGACTTCCATACACCATTCGTAGATGGTTGTTTTTGCCACATACCAGGAGAGACAACATACATACTACATGGTGAATTACGACGTAGTTCCTACTAAGACTCGACCTCGACTAGGAAGTAGTAGTAGTCTGGTCAGATCTACATATTTCGTGTAGAAAATTACCGATGTGAAGAACTTTGGACCTACACACTTACTACACACGCAGGTCATAAGCCGGCACTTACTCCGAAAGGTAAGCAAACAGAGTCTCTCCCTACCTCCAAGCAACGTGAAATGAGCCCATCACTCTGTATATAAATACAGTTGTAATTCCCAGGTTGGATGGTATCACAACACTCCCTTCCTCACTTCTACTAAGATCTATCACCACTCGGTTCCAAACAATGGCTCCCCTTATGTCCTACGTCCTGGCCCTCGGTGCCCTAGCCAGCACTGCCCTAGCCGCACCTAAATACCCCACCGCGGAGCCAGTCAAGTACCAAAACAACACTCTGTACACCTACAAGTACCAAGGCTGCAACGGCCCCGCCTTCATCTTCAACAACTTCCAGCCCAACACGTGTGCTGTATCCATCACCCGCCCGGGCCTCAACATCAGCCAAGCCATCGCCGCCAAACTCACCCTCGTCAAGTCCGGCCTCCTCGTCCGCAACGAGGCCGGGTACACGGACCCCACGTTCGTCGCGTGGAATGAAGGCCCACAGAGCAATGCGGATGGCCCCCTTCAGTGCGGCACTGTTCGCGACAGTGAGGTCGTCAAGGGCGACCGGCTGTGCCTCAGCACTCCTGACAATCAGAACGACCACGGTTACAGCTACTACCGTGACGATAGCGCGGACGAATCCGATCATTGGGAGAAGAGGGAAACTGATGAGTCGGGTCTTATACAGAAGAGGGACGCGCCCCGCTGCACTGGTCAGCAGCATCCCGATGCTGTATTCATTGCTGGAGCTATCTACACCCTTATTAATGTTCCTGATGAGATCGCCGTGGAGCTTGTGGTTTCGGTTCTCAATGGCGTGACTACGATCAGGGCTGAGCTTGATGTTTATATCGTCGGTTAGCTTGGTGATAAGTAACTGCCAGCCTGGTTCTCCATAGTAGAGTCTGGTGTGCCATTTTTTGTCAGAGCTGGAACTATGTTAGTAATGGATAATTGTACGGGAAGTTGTTATACGTAATTAATTCATTCTTCCAGTCACGGTTTGCTACTCCACGCGTGACTAGGTATTAAACATTTACAGTCGACATTAGCTTTGGTATGCTCAGTTGGGGTGACATTGCAAAACACTTAACATACACTTCCTGAAGTAACAGGTAATTGATCAAACCCAAGGGACCGTGACGTAGCATCAGTAATGAATAAGGTATTCCATTCAGTATATGCTGTACACGCATTTACAGCCGAAGTTTACAAGTCTTACTCCTCGAAACCCCCTTATCACTCTCACTCGTTGCCGTCAACGTAACAGTCGCCTCACTCGACGCCCTACTCTCCCTTCCAACTGCCACCTTAACCGTCTTTTGTTTCCCAGCACCCGCATACACAAGCGCATTCGGCAACGCGACCTTCCAGCCCTCGCCCTCGACCTTGGCTTCCAAACGATAGATATCGGAACCAAGGTAAGCAGAGAGATCTTGAGGGTGGGGGTTAGTGCTGAGTTGAGCGGCTTTCCCCGTATTCTTCAGCTCGAAGGTGCAGTATGTGGCGTTCTCGTCACTCAAGGACGGGCCGTCTTGGGCTACCTTGCCGGATCCGAGCTCGATGCCGTGCTTGGTAGATGTGGTGGCGTTGGCGGCGGCGGTGGATGCTACACCGACGGTATAATGCAAGACACCAGCCTCATCACGAAGCTTCTCGAGGATGTAGAAGTGCAAACCGTTGGGCTCATCGATGTATTCGTATTCCGAACCAGAGTTTGTGCCGGCGTGGAACAGAGCGTCGACGAGTTGTCGGTAGTCACCGATGGTCCAGTACCGAGCTGTGCCGTTTGGAAGGTAGAAATCAATCTGGCGGGCATCTTGAGGGTTTGCGTCGATGACCCATTGGAAGGGTTGAACTCGGTCGCTGTTCTTAGTTTTGCTAATCATCACGCCAGAATCGGGGCAGAAGGAATCGGCACCCATGCGGTCAACAACTTCGACATTGTAGTTGTTATAGCGGCGGCCGTCACAGAGCGGGTCAACAGTGACGTTGCATGGAGGTGCAAGGTCGCCTGTGGAATCAAAGGTGATGTTAAAACCCATGAGGCTGCCGACTGGATCGACTGATCGAGCTGTGAGCTGAGCAATCACTGGGCCAGAAGCAGCGAGACCAGACCGGGATATCTGCAAGATGGGAGTCGTGTCGATGAGGCCAATCTGGTGCTTGTCACGCATCGTGTGCAGAGAACCCATGGAAGCACCTTGAACAGGAGGGATTTGCCAGCGCGTGTGTGGACCTCCAGGACCGTTGAAGCTACCACGAGACAACATACTCCAAGGACCGGTATAGGTACGTCTAGCAGGGTTACTGAATGGGTTGTTGTAGTTGTCGCCAATGCCAAGCAGGTGCGACAACTCATGAGCAAATGTAGCCATGCCACTCGACTCTCCCTGCGTAGACGAGCCACCACCTGCGTTGGGCCAGATCGTGGAGGCTGCAGCCCACGAAGACCATTCAACATAGCGAGTACTTGCCCAGTTGGGCAGGGAAGAGTTGCCGGGAGGTCCAAACTCGGCGGGGACATCTTCTTTGGAGAGGAACTTCATTTCACCGAATTCCTGCCATGTCGACGACTCATCCTGGCCCGCGGAAAGAATGAACGCCAATTCGAATGCGTCCGCGGTTGCATTGCCAACCTCCGCTCGCCATGCTCCAAGAGCATCAGTGCGCAGGTCGACTGAACACGGAGGACCTTCTGGGCAAGCACCTTCATTGAAGCCACCCTCCTCATCGTCGATTCCATACTGGTAGCTACGCGAGGGCATGCGATACGGGCCGAATACGGTCAGGTCGACTCCATATTTTCCAAACGAATCGCCCATCCAGTACTCGTGCAGCGTATGACCCTGGTTAATCTCACTCGGAACATTGAGAAGATCGTGGTAGAATTTGGGTACATCATCACGACTTAAGCCAGCAGCCAGCGGTTGCGGGTTACCGAAGATATCGGACTTGGCCGGGAGAGTAACCACGAAAGGCGAATCCGGATAATCGACTGTTATCATAGCGATGTTGAAGTTCCTGTCCCTGCCCTTGCGCGATGGGTCGGCCCAGTTGGTTTTCGGCGGTTCAACATAGTCTGTCGTATGATCAGCAAATCGAACATAACTCCGCTAACAGAGGCCATTTTCCTACCATCCCAAGTCATATTATCCGGATTTACCCAATTCTGAGGATCAATAGGCGTAAACGGATCCGAAGATGAGCTTTGGCGAGGAAGCACGGCAGCAGAGGCAAGCCTGAGCATTGCACTCCCAAGTACCACCATGGCGGCACCTGATGACTGCTTCTTGGCTACCATTGAGCTTTCAGCGACCCCGTTGAGGTCAAGAAGGCTTCTGGTCTAAACAGGTAGGAAAGTGAAGCAAGACGCAAAGCTTGCCAAAGCGTAGGCGGCGGGAGACTTTTGTACAATCACAGCAACATCTGGACGTGCATCCATTATCCATAACCGGCCCGTCGCAATAAAAACTCGCATCATATCACGCTGATAGCCAAGTAGTTCAACGCAAGGACGGTCGATATACGGTTTGTCGGTATATCCGGCTGCCTCTTGAGGTTAGTTGCGTTCCATCGACTGGCTTGGCAGACAAGCACCTGCTTGAATAGGGTCGATAATAGTGGATCCCAGTCGCACGCATTGTTGATCAACGTATAGTGGCACCAGGACGCCACAAGCTTCTCTGGCAGATGCTTGTAGTTGACATCATCCATGTAGAAAAGTAAAAGGTAGAAGGCATAGCATACGGCTGCTCGCGAGAAACACAATCCCCCAATCCGACGAGTAATGAACAGTCTCAATGAGACGAGGATGAAATTGTCGCTCCCTGCCTTTAGTGTATATAGGTCTCACCGCCGGTGCCATCCGCATAGAGTACGATCCTGGAAAACTTAAGCTTAGGCCATAAAAACAAGGGAGATCGAAATGCCGCAATTGCAGTTCTACTCTCTCAAGTTCCGGTTCACTAATGTTACGCATAGTCAATGTTTTGGTGGTAAATCCAGTCTTGCCAGCTACAGTGTACAGAGTAGATAGATTCAAGTGCTTGCATATCTGCAAGCTAGACTACGCTTTTGGCATAAACTCCGGGTTTGTTCGTCCCTTGGTAAAGAGAGTACCGTGGAGATGAAATTGTATAGCAATAAAGAAAAACGTCCGCAAACGCCGCCGTATGCAATGAAAGCCAGGTAAGACGGAGCAATAAACAAAGATTGACAAGTCATCGAAAGTGCATCAAGACATGTGTCTTACTCATCCTGCTTGATTTCAAGCTTGGTCTTCTTAGGACTACCATTGTAGTCATCCTCAGCCTTGCGCTTGTTGGAGGCAGCGGCAATCTCGGCCTCAGTGCGGGAGTCCTTGACAACGGGGACGCCGTGAGCATCACGCTCAATCTCCTTCTTCTCTTCCTTGGAGTTGGCACGGTCGTCCTTGCCGTTCTTGAAACGATCGCGACGCTTGTTCCAGTCGCCACTGTCGACAGAGTCGTTGGAAGCGCTGCGGTCACGACGCCTGCGAGGAGAACGATCGCGGCGGTTGTCGCGACGGTCACTGCCACCTCGGCCACCACGTCCTCCACGGTTGGATCCGCGACCACGGCCTCCGCCACGACGGTCATTGCCTCGGCTGCTGCTGAAATTACCGTTGGCCTCGCGCTGCTTCTTGCGCTTCTCGTACTTCTCCTGTTCAGTGAGTTCCCAATCTGGCTTGATTCCCTTCTCCTCGCACTTCATCACAATGTACTCCTTCTTGCCCATAGTGGTAAGCTCATTGCCATTGAACGTGGGCTTGGGGTCGAGAGCGAGGAACTGCTCTTGAGAGTCCTTGGAGTCGAACTCGACAAAGACGCTACCCTTCCAGGCACCCTCTTCATCGCGGCGCTTGCGGACCATGACTGAGCCGAAGGGGCGGAAGAACTGCTCGAGCGCAATCTGGCCGGCTTCCTCGGCCTCACCAAATCCCTTGACGTAGGCACTTGTTTCCATGGAGTTGGATGAGCTGCTCCTCAGGCGGTAGAAGAGCTCTTCTGTGGTGGGGGGTTTCTGATCGTCGCCTTCCTTAGCTGGGACGACTAGTGGCTCTTTACGCTTGACGGCCTCGCTACCAGGCTTGCTGTACTCGCCATCATCGACGACAACAAGATCGCTGCTGTGACGGAGGGCTTCTACGACAGCGGAGTAGGGCTTGAAGCGGCGCATGCGCTTGAAGGTGCAAATGTGATGGATCGAGACAGGCTTGTTCTTGGGACCCTCGAGCTCCTTGAACATGTGCTCATCGGTCGCCAGGTTCTGCGCAGAGAAGTAGAACTCGATCTGGGTGGAGTTAGTAAGCGAGGCCTAGGGTGGGAAGACGGGAGTCATACTTGAGCGCGGATCTCAGCTGGATCGTCGGACTCTGGGAGGTTGTCAAACTCTTGGTTTTGCCTGTGCGAAGAGTCAGATACTGCAAGCACCATGGAAAGACGGGACTCTGGGCGTACTTCTTGTTGCGGCCGTTGCCCTTGCTGCCACCGCGACCACCACGGTTGTCGCGACTGTTGCGACCGTTGCGATCTTCGCGGTCGTTGCGGTGGGTGCTCTTTTCGCCGGACTTTCCGTTAAGCTCCCATTTCTCCTCGCCGTCAGCGGCTTTGGTGTCAGACTTGGTCTCGGTCTTGGAGTCAGACTCGACCTTGAGCGCCTTCTCAGCCTGTGAGGTTTCGGCGGGGTTGGAGGCCGCCGCAGCAGCGATTTCGGTGTCGGCCATTTTCAAAACGGTTGCAGCACGAGTCGCGTAGGTAATGGGGAGCTGCTGCAGGAATTTTTGTGTTTATATAAGTAAAATGGAGGGTGGGTGAAGAGAAAAGGTCAAAGATGGGCGAAGAGCTACGGTTCTGCTAGTGGGGAAATTTCAATAGGACCAGGGTCCATAGGCGCCAAGTCTCACTCACTGCGGAATTGTTGCTCACCCGCTAATAATACCAGAAGACGTACGCCCTTTGGGAGCAGCGACAATACGCCGCCCCAATTGACTCACACCCGCCGTCACCATGCCGCGCAAGAAGCCGAGGTTCCATTCGCTCAAGAAGCTCGTATGCATGCCGTTTCCTTGAGTCAATGAGGCGTCCCGGTCGCTAACCCACTGCAGAATGTTCGCCAGAATTGGTCGCGCTGGTCTCTATACGCCCTTTCTCAGCTCAAGGCACCCAATGTTACGACACGCACATATTTCCAGCAAAAATGGACGGCAAAGGCGTCGACACGAGCGTACCACGGCGAGCACATACGAGAGAAGAAGTGGAAGCACATGTTCAAGCGAAATCTCCCCGCAGTAGTGCCCATGGACCACCAATATCTCGCTCGCCACGATGGCTCTGAGCAGGCGGCGGGACGAGGCATGGGCGCTGATGTCAATGACAAAGCAAAGACGCCCCCGATGACACCATACATGCAAATGGCATACTATCCGCTGGAACGGCGACTAGACACTGCCATTTTCAGGGCTCTATTCGCAAGCAGTGTACGGCAAGCCAGGCAGTTCGTCGTTCATGGCTTGGTCAAGGTCAATGGCAAGAAGGTACGTCTGACAGTGTCTATACGACCAAGAACCCCACCCAAACTGACTTCGATCTCCAGATGGTATACCCAGGCTACGCACTCAACCCAGGCGACATGTTCCAAGTCGAGCCTTCATCTGTCATGTTTGCAACCGGAGCACCCAAGACCCGTTCATCTACCGCCCGCCGCGTGACCAAAGAGAAAGCCGCGGCCCGCGCCCAAGAACGCGAGCAGAGCGGTGGCCAAACCCCCAAGCAATCAAGCGACACCAACCTGGTCATCTCACAGTCCTCGCGCGAAGAACCGACTCCCACAGAACTCAAGAAGCAGCTGCAAGACCTGATGGAGCAAGTCGATGGCGTCCTCGCCGAAGACGTCAAAGCAAAGGACAAGCAAAAATTCCGTGCCCTCCGCTCGAGTATACGCAAAGCCATTAGTTTATGGCGCTCCGCAAACCCAGAAACAATCTCAACCCTCGACGCCCAATTCGACTTCCTCAAGACGCAAATCGCTGAGCGCAACGCCGCCATGTCTTCTTCGACGTCATCCTCCAAGGACTCTGCATCGGCCGCAGAACCCCTCATTTCCGAGGAAGACCAAGCGCGTCTGCGATCTGCGTTTGAGAAGCTGAGGCTGGAAACTGAACACACTTCGGCGTGGAATAGGCGAGACGCTCAGGCACCGTATGCGACTCCCTGGCGGCCAAGGGATTACATGAGCGCTTTTGCATTTATCCCCCGCTATCTTGAAGTGAATCAAAACATCTGCGCAGCTGTGTACTTGAGGCATCCGGTCGCGAGACCTGGACTGGCTGAAGTCCCGACACCATTCCATATCGAGACAGGCCAGTTGGCATTCAACTGGTACCTGCGTAACCGATAAAGCAAATCATAGATCATGAGAGAAGGGGCGTCTGTATAACTGTAGATAAATCCGCTGCTAGCGGTGTCAATTGCATTGTATAACATTGTCTTGAACAACAACAACAACAAGAATATTTGACTAGATATATGACAGACCTGTTGCGTGTATGCAACAGCAATCTTCCCTCGTCGAAATGTGCGCCCGAACAAAAAAAGTGTGCGGCTAGGTGGTACGCTCAAGAAAAAAAAGCATGCTGCAGTCCTTTGTCAGAAACAACAAAACGCCAACATTATGATACATGAGGGCAGTAATAATATTAGTGGATAGCGTCCTCGGACTATCCCTTGACGCTGTCACGGGGAAATACCCTCTCCTCCCGATTGATTGGCCTTGGGAATGACAGTGTCAAGTGTGCCTTTCGGCGCCATATCTGCAAAGCAGAATACGACTTCAAGGATCGGGATCTACGCAGAATCCCTTTCGTGCTGGTTGCTCGAATTGCAAGGTATGCAGCTCTAACTGTATGTAGACAACAGAGTGTATATGTGCGAAGCGTCAAGACCGGGATGTGGGAACTGGTATGAATAGCTAAAGACGGATTGAGGGTGCCATTGCGGGCCCCAAAACGCACAGTCTTCAATCACCATCTGACTCTTCCTCATCTAGAGTATAGATGCTCACAGGGTACCTAAGTGTCTCTGCACTGGGCCTAGGACTCACGTCGACAACACTACTCTCAGGTGTCCAGTGGGAGCTCACTTCGGATGTCGTGGATGCAGCAGCATATTGGTGGAAGCCATTAGCGACAACGTCAGACATATCTCGGTCAGAATCATAGCCAGGCGGCTCCGTGGGCGTGTCTGAACGATAACTTGGTAGACTCTCAGTCCGCGACAATGGTCGCGAAGGTATCTCAGGAAGTGATGTGGGAGGGTATGTGGATGCTGTTGATAGCGGGGAGGAGGGCGCGTGAGTTTGTTCCCGGTGGTAAGTGAAAGGAGGGTGGTTGGCACTTCTGCCTTCTTCAGCGTCTCTCACAAGATCATTGACAACATCGTGTGCTGCCCTCAACTGTCGGATCTCTTCTTGCATCGCATCTTCAAGCACATTTTCCTGTTCGGAAATGAGGGCCCTTTTTTCTTCATAGTCAGCAATGCGCTCGCTGTCCCTCCGTGCCCAATTACCGCGCCACCACTTGCTCCATGCATGCTGGCGCGCTGCTCGGCGATAGGCACGAGCGTTGATGCGTTCTTCCCGGGCAGCAGCACGCTCAGTACGTGTTCGAAGGCTGCTACATTTGTGGCGGATCGCAGTGAAAAGACAACCGCAACAAAGGATGCCAAAGGTGATTTCAATGGCCAAAACGAAGGACGATTCTTTGGTAGGTCTTGGTGGAAGTTCAACCTAGAAGGTGTCAATTTTGGATCTTAGACGAAGACAAAGAAATGATCAACATACCGCTTCCGCTTTGTATGCTTGAGGAGCCGGTGTGCTGACCCTCAAGCTGTCATCAGAAACCTGTGCCACTTGTGCGACATGATCATGTGTCTGGGGGAAAATGTGCTCCGGGTGGCCCATTTTGATTGGCTTTTGGCCAGGCTTGTAGCGGAGGTATGCTACTCTCCACGCGCCGATGGCCTTGTCGGCAACCGTCTTGAAGATACAAGAAATGCCGTCACAGTTACTCAATTCTTGTGAGACGTTCTGCGCTTCTTTTCTCAATCGCGAATGAATAAGCTTCTTCTGCTTGGTGATGAGTGATTGAAGTACTTCAAGTTCACTTTCAAGCGCTTTTAGTTGGCGAATGTCTTCCTCTAAGGAGTGAGCTTCAGTCGCGCGAGGTGAGCCCTCGACGTTTCCAGAGGCAACAAGACGCAGAGCCTGGGGCGGCTCGCGCCAAGATTCAGCGACGTCTGTATTGTTGGCAGAGGGATCCGGGGCGGATTCAAGCCTGAGCAGCAACGGGGGTGAAGTGTGCTGCTTGAAGGAAATAGTAAAACCAGATGGTGCGTCAAGGGGTTTGCCGTCAATGGCCTTGATGTTAACTGTCAGGACTTGCGCGGCTTCTGTTTCTCTGTGGCCGTGAAGACAGGCCGTCTGCCATTCGAGATCCAAGTCGCGCTGCAAAAAGCGTTCATTCTGTGTGAGGTGGGTGAGAGCCTGGTAGGAGCCCGAGCCGGAGGCAAAGTCTCCGGACCACTCCTGAGGTAGATGTACTCCGTTCAGGGTAACGTTGGAAGAGCCGCAGGCATCATCTTGGGCATGGCTGGTGAAGCTCAGGATCTGGGGCGCGGGTCAGCAGGTGGGACGGTGGTGTCTAGTTGCCTGAAGTGGACCTTACTAGAGACTCGTCATTCTGGTCCGTGTGAGCCGGGCCAAGACAGCCAATGCATGGGACGCTGAAGGTTGCTTGCGCGTAATTGTGTTGCACGTCTGCAAGTAGTAACACCTGGTCAGCAGCTGCCTAGATATGGCAAAAGGCGGATAGCTGTGTCTGTAGTAGTATAAGAGAGGGGCATACCGAGATGCAGCAGGTCCTCTGCTCGAGCAGCTCGACTGTGGGAGTGAGTGGGCAGGACGGCGGCGAGCACAGGAGCCGCCCACGCACACGCTGTAAGCACCTTTGACCTGAACCAAGGCATCACGATCGGACGGCCGAGACAACCACGGCCAGAGAAGGGGGCAGGAGAACTAAAGAGCGAGGCTCGGACGATGGGACAGTTGGTCCCAAGTGTGTCCAGAGAATCAGGCACCAGTCGCTACCGTCAGCACTGGGCGTGCTGCGTGGCTTAGACGTCTGAAACGACTGCGAGCGATTCAGCCACGGTTTGAGGCGTCCAGCGCGTCACGTGCTTCTGGCTGTTCCGCCAAGCCCCCGACCCACGCTTGGGCCAGCATCATCGTGCAGTTGAGTCGAGGGCCGTGATATTCGCCGCCTGCTCCCACTTTGACGACGCGTATACATCAATTGAATCGGCCAGCGCCATGGTATGTTCCTCCTGGAGTCGCGCTGCCTTCTCTCGCAACTTGGCTGACTCGCATGCCAGCTTCCCTTGGGCCTTCTTACGGCCGCGACCGGCCACCCAATGCTCGTTGAGCTCAAGAGCGGCGAGACACTCAATGGGCTCCTGGTCAACTGCGACACTTGGATGAACCTTACCCTGCGAGAGGTCGTACAAACAAGCGCAGATGGCGACAAGTTTATGAGGCTGCCAGAGATCTATGTTCGCGGCAGCACAGCACGTCTACACCCCCCTTCGAAGCCAGCGCGAAACTAACATGGGCCAAGATAAAATACCTACGAGTACCCGACGAGATTGTCGACATTGTAAAGGAACAACAGGC